ATCTTACATTGAAAAAAAGAATGTTTAATTTTGCCAACGTGCATGGCTATGGCGACGCGCATGCAGACCAGAAACTGAAGCCTTTTGGGGGGGGGGGGGGGCCTAAACTGCAACATTTGCAAGCATCATCGGTCTCATGTCAAACCTCATGCAAAACCTTTCTTTGTCACTGTCTTTGGTAATTTGTTAAGTTGGGTACGAGTACCCGATCCCTTAATATGGAACTAGTAATCCTGACATCAGCTGTCTGGAAACCAGTGCGCGTGTAATTATTTTCAATTGATTCAGAGTGGCTATTTACTGGAAGTCTCCTCATCAGGCATGCAACTGGGAATGTAGCAAATACAATGAAACCCCAAAACAAACTAGAGTTTGTACAGTGTTTTTCAATTTGTAACGGCATTCATGAGAAATTAAAAAACCAGGAAATCAGCGGATCCGAGGAAAAGTTGCATGCCTGTCTCATACAGCCTTAAAGCTATAGTCCATCATTTGTAATTTGTGCATTTTGTTCGTTTGAAGCGACAAAAGTGTTCAAAATCTAATGAAGGATACTGAACAACTAACCTGATGAAGTTTCAGCTCAGCTTCAGCTGTATATTCCGAGAAAAACAGCATTCTAGGATCTCAATTTCAAATCAAAAGCTGCTGAATCATGTTTTGAATTGTTTTGAATTGCAGCAATACGCGATGTCGCGCACTGATCCGACGAATTATAGCAACCGCGCGCGCCTGTGCGTCGTGCCAATGCTTGCGAGCGCTGCGCAAGGGCGGATCCAGAACACAATTTTTGGGGGGCCAAAAAAAATTTTGGTCCCCCAAAAAAGTGGGTAAAAAAAATTACGGCGTGGGGTTCGGGGCCCGCTTAAGGGCCCCGAAAAATTTTTGGATTCTAGATGCTCTGTGGTGCGATCTGAGGCAATTTCTGACCACTTTAACCAATGTGTTTTTGAGAAAAAGATGGTGGTGTACTCATTGCCTGCCTTTATTGCGATGTCACATAAAAAAAAAAAAAATTGGTTTCGTTTTTGGGGGGGGCCATGGCCCCCTTTGGCCCCCCCCTGGATCCGCCCTTGGCGCTGCGCCGAATAACAAAACGAACTACTAATTTAAATTTTCCTACGGTGCGTCTTAAGACGCACCTTTGGAAAGGCCTTCTTTCATTGATTACTTCAAAATGATAGCTTGCCAGAAAGATTAATTTCACAGGGAGTTTAGTCCACTTACTATCTTTCAACCAAGTATGTTTTTCAACAATAATACGCCAGTTACTTTTTCGGATGGCTGCAAATGATGGACTATAGCTTTAAGGCCAATTCATACTTCATGCAAATAAAAATGCAATGGGATTTGACTTCATTAAGCGTTCCCTACGCAATTCACTGGAGTTGAAATTTGCATTAAACTTTTGCGAATCTACAGTGCAAAAAGCTGCCCTGACGTCACAAATTCGCATTCACATTCGCTTTCTCACCGAGTATGAACCGGTCTTTATGCCAGATTTAGCCCGTTCGTTGGCGTAACTATTTCAAACTTTTGGACCACAGTGAGACTTGTGCAAGTCTAATTCACAAGTGGCAGTTGGTATTAGTGAGGAAAAGTCAGCTGCGAAGGAGACTACAGGCTTGCCCATAGCGACCAGCAAAAAAAATCTCTTCATGGTCATTTTATAGAATTATACAGTTCGGATCAACTGAAACTTGATTTCGGAATTTTTTTTTATGAATAGCACGGTACAAGTCAAGACCTCTGTAACTTGCGTCAATGGCCACATTTGTTTTGTACAACTGTGTAATTGGCACTAACAAGCGACCCTTTTGGGACACACAGTGAATTTTCTGAGAAGGATTTTTATTGAGTTTTGCGTTATGATTGTCAAAACTGAAGTGATGATATATTTGATTTCGGATCAATAGGTTGTGTCAAAAACAGTTTTGGATAAATTTATTATTTTACTGCCCCCAATCTCTAGGTAATGGACTACGTAAGAACTCTGTGTTTTGGGTGTTTTTTTTCAAATTCTTGAGAAAAACCTGTTGGACACATCCATCCACAGTGACAAATTTGGACAATATCTAGAGTACACTGACAAAAAGCAGGTTTTTTCCTTCCCAATAAGAAATGTGATCATTTCCCTTGAGGCCTTGACAAAAAAAATAAAGTGGGAAATTCAATTTACAGAGTATCACTCATCGTAACACATATTGTTGCGATGTCGTGTTACACAAACACCACCCACGCATAGCCAGGGTCTGGAAAGATCGCCGTTTCCGACCACAGTTCAAATTGTGTTTCATAACAACAACAAAAGTATTTATTTTAAAGATTTTTTTCTGGATATTTTTTTCTGGTTTGATTTTTTTTCATTTGCTAAGCAAGTTACTCAACTGTTTCTCCCTCCTGCCGCTCTGGCTGGCAAATTTCAACAAGGCCAGCCCAGCAGTCCAAATAAATCAAGTGACTGTTTTTAACAGTTGAGTGCTCCCTGCCTTCATAAAGCAGGATTGACTGGCTGTGATTGTTAGAAGCCAGATACAGCTATGCTTTGACTGTAGGAGATTGATAAGCCAGCTGTGCCTACCAGTCACCTGCTTTTATCTGTTGATGGAATTTGACTGTCACAGTGCCTGCAAGAATATGATCTGACTGTTGATGACTAGCCTGTGTAAAAGGCATGGCAGGGGAACTGGATTGAATTTTTGACTGTCTGTGACTGATCAAACAAAAGGAGGGTTACAACATTGAAGCCCAAAGATTAATATTTTTATTAGAGTGGGCTTAAAGGGAAAATACAACATTTGCAAACATCAAAAAATAAAACTACCAAATCATTTTGAAATACCTTGCTGGACTGTTAGTGAATGACAGTGTATAGCATCCTGTAAAATCATGGCACCTGGTATACTGTCATTTTCAAGAAAAGTGGTATTTTTGTATCAATTTCCAATGCTGGTCGGCCGACCAGCGTTGGAAAAAACTGGCTTTTTTTCAAATACTGGCCCCAATTGACCATCGCACTTGTTTGCAATCGATTACACACCTATGAACGGGTACAAGCCAGCGTACTGGTTCCCTGACCTTACAATTCCCCAATGTATGTAAACTGCTCTGTTTCTTCTTATATGGAGTCAGGGAATCAGACTACAGGAAAATGATTGTTTTTCTTGGTTTTTATAGCATTTTCGAACCCAAAACCTCAAAAAAGTCAGTGTAACTATATTTGCTATATATTTCCAACCCCCCAATTCCATCCATTTCTGAAAATTACAGCAAAAGCAAATGATGTATATTCCCTTTAAAAAGATACTGGTGATTCGAATAGCTTGTCCTAAGGTTCAGATTTTGCAATAAGATTGAAGATTGTCTCTGCCAAAAAGTCATATTGAAGACATTTTAATTAATGTGGTTTTTGAGTTTTTTGTGTGTTTCATTTGCTAAGAATAGCCATTTGACATTTGCTTTGAATCAGTGCACAAGAGATAAGAATTAGCTAAAACAAATTTGGGGTCTAAATAGCTTGTCCTGATATACAATGTTGTGTTAAGACGTCAAGATGCAAAATAGGAGAAATGTGTACTTTCATTATCCGATTAACTGGATATGGTCTGGGAGATGGATTAAAAGGGCATTTGGGTCATAACTTTGTTCCCATTGAATAGCTGAACAATATACCCCAGGCCCGCAATATTGCCCTTTGTGGGGTAAATAACAGTCACTTAATTTCTTTTGTTGGAGCCTCCTGGTCTAAAATGCCATTTTAACACTTCGGGACAGAAAGGTCACCAATAAATGCTCCCAAAAGCGATTCTATCGACGTGAAACTTGAAACTGCCAATTTGGCAATTTTTCTATTTTTTTTTTTTTCTCTCTTAAAAAAAATATCCAGCTATCCTAAAAAGCTTTTCAATTTTTTTCATCTGGCAGAATTGTAAATGTTATATTCAAGGAGATCTTTGAGCAGAGGAATAATTTGTATTCCTTTTTTATGTTTTTTTATGCTGATAAAAGGCTAAAGAAATATTTTTGTGGCCTTTGTGTCTCTGACTTCCTGACTTCCTCTAAAAGTGTGATTAAATAACAATCAGCGAAGAAAAGAAAAGGGTCTTTTTGTTGTGACATTCTTAATTAAAGTGAAACCGTACACGTGAAAAGGAGGGGGCTGGCAATCTGAAATAGTCCGCCGTTTTTCGGTGACGTACCCTGAAACGCCCTGCCCACTGGATCAATTTTGGATATGTTATTAATAGTGCACGGAGTGTCAGAATGGAATTACCATCACCTTAAAGGTGACAATCACTTGCAATTTAATTTTGTTGAGTGACGCTGGCACTCATTCCAAAATAAAGACAGTTTAACTTCCTCCAACCCACATAAATCAATGTGAGAGTTCTATTTCAGTCGGAGTTCTGCTTCCATTGATCCTGGGATGATTTGGTCGATTTGTTTTTTCCCTCTCCATTAAGAAAGTTTATATAACCCCATGTTTCCACTTCTGTGAACCACTTGCGTTCTGCCTGTCAACAGAGAAGCATCTTTTTTTTCGGCCGACTGTTCTACAAATGTCAATTTCAACTAGATCTATTTCAGCTTTATCAACGCTAAGCGGATGTGACTGTAATGCAATGTGAGTGCGTCGGTAGTGAGTTGAAACAGTAATTAACCCTTACTCCCTAGTAGTTCCTCAGGACTACCCTGCTAAATCCAACAGAGTCCAACCGGAGTTTCCTGCTCAATCTAGTGTGCCTTATTTTTAGTTGTCGGCTGAGTCCCGTTGAGGGACGGAATAGCCTGCTGAAACACGGAACCATTCCCAACCCACTTCCGCAACGATCAGATTACTTCATGCTAAGTGGTGTAACCATACACCTTTGCAGTTTCATTTCTTGTCTCTCCACAGATTTCTTCAGGCTTGCCAGCCACGGCACCTTTCGAGGAAACTATGGCTGCATAACAAGAAAGAGTAATCTTTTTATTTTTCTGTTTTTGATAAATTTTTCTAGATAATCCAGAGACGACTCTGCCGCAACCCAAGATGCCCCATCACAACGCCCGGTTCCTCGTAATCCTCCTCCTGTTCCTCCTCCAGCCACTCCCGAGCCGGACGGCCGCGACACCAAAGCCCCGCAGCGAAACCTTCTGGCGCAAGTTCTGCGGCTTCTTCTGTCCTTACCAGCTGAGCTGCGACTCGGACGTCTACCTGAGCAGCCAGCAGCAGCTGGAGCTGCTCAACAGCCAAGAGTTCCTAGACATCTTAGAGCTCTTCCCGCAGATCCTCTTGGAGAACGAGAAGCTCCAGCACACCACTCTCGTCCGGCTTGAGGACCACCAGCGTGACTTGATCCTCTTACGCTATAAAGATTTCTTCCACCCTCGAGAAACCTTACCCCTGGCCAGGCAGAGAGTTGTCAGTCAGTTGGCCAAGGATCAGCAAGGCTTTCAGGGAGACCCTGTCGCTGAGCCTCTGCCAAACGAGATCCATCTCACGGTGGATCAGGTGCAACAGCTCCTCGAGAAAAACGCCCATCTCAAAGACAACCAGGTCCATGATGAAGTTCTTCCAGAGGACGAGGTAGTCGGTACGCCCAATTGGGATGAAGCTGAGAGCTTTATACGTGATTACGTCAACAAGCAACGGATTCAGCAATCTGAGAAAAAGGAGACGCATTTGCCGGACGTGACGTCTCAAATTCCGAGCAACAGAGTGAGTGGAAAGAAGGCTGCTCACAAAACGCCAAGCAAAAAGGATAAACCAATCGCCTTGAATATTAATCAGCTCCAAGACCACGCTGAACATCTGAACGTCGAGCAGATTCTCAAGGAGCTTGAAAAGATGGGGCACTCTTTTGATCTCAACAACCTTGTATCAGACCAGGACCGGGACTCCTCAGAAGCTCAGTACTCACAACCTGAGCCCCACAGAACTACAGATTCAGACCCAACAGTACTACAGCAAGTCCCGACCAAAACCGGGGACAGCAACCACAACAGTAGTCGCAAGAAATCCGCCCACAGGAAAGGACCCCATGCGAAACACGTAAACCGCATAACCGATAAAAAGTCCAAAAACAGCAAGGAGCCTTACTCGGACTCTCACGACGCCAGGACACTGGAGGAGCATTTCTACAGCCACCAACAAACAAATCTGCCTTCTAAACAGCAAATCGCGCAAGCGTTAGAGTTCTTAAACAGTCCGCCATCCTCAGCTCAGTACAGCAGTGTACAGAGTAGGACAGGCAAAAAAAGGACGTCATCGAGCGAGTCAAATTCTGGTCATAGGCGACGAGTTGGCCAGAAACGACCCTCGGGCTTTGTGTATGAGCCCGGTGGGTCAGGTGAGGAAGGGGGTACGGATGAGGGGGACAGAGAGTCCCAAGAGGTGAGCAAGAGACACTCCCGGAGAAAGAGGGAGGTGCTCAGCATGCAGGTGTGTCCCGTGGTGGAGACGTGGTCTAATATAGTGCTAGCTGAGACTGTGAACGGGACTCTTGTACAAATAGCACAGGTGAGTTTAAACAAAAGTCAGCAATCATTCTTGGGGGGGGGGGGGTCTCACAGAGTAAGTTCGGGCGAGAATCATCAGTTGACTAGTGGTGGATTTGTGATGTAACATTATGCCTGCACACTTAAATAGCAATGCGCAAACACCTCCAGTCAAACGATGATCAAAAGGTCATCTCAAAACCTCTGGCTCTTGGCTCCCCGCTGTGCTTTATGATGCGCGCCGCTGTTGGCAACCAGTGATGGAAGTATTCCAAATGGTGAATTTTGGAATAAAGAGTGCTATTGACGAAAACATGTTTCCTGATTATTAAGGTTGTCCACACTTTTTCGCTATTTTCTCGAAAAGTATAAAAATCCACTGTGCCGAAACTTCAACTGGTTAAGTTTTGAACACTCTTCTTGATTTTGAGTGGTTTTATACATGTAATTGGAAATAAACAAAATGCATGAAAAGCAAATGATCCTGCGGTATATACCTTTAACATAAACGTCGGTGAAAACGTCGACAGTTCCTGTTGATTTTCATTTTGCATTTTTTTCTTTTTACGTGCCTGTGACACAAAAGTCGTGTTTGCAACTTCCGACTCACTTTATCCAATTGGTGTCAACTTATTCTACAAAAAAATAACACCCGATGGAGAAAATGTACCATAGAAGACACAAATTTCAGGGGAAAAACAGTGACAAAGCCATCTCGAGATTCGCTGTGAAGAATCGAAAAGGACGCTCCAATTTAATAGAGGGTTATCGGAGAGTGCATAAATGTCTCTTGGGAGGTGGATCTCTGAGTGGGAGGATTATTAAAGGGATCACTGGGGACATATCGTCAATTGTCCACCATCCATCTTCTGATAAAAACCGAGCCAAACAACACCGCAGGAATTTGAACAAGGACGTTTATTGTGTTGAACCTTCTCATTACGATATTTGGCCTGTCTTGGTTGATGGAGTGGTCTGTTTTGGCAAAATCCGATTCCCTGGTGGACATAAGCTCAGTGCCTGATTGAAATTTTATGGAGCCTTGAAAGCGGGATGTGTACTCTCTGTCTTTCTGAAGTGTGTCCTTCAATTTGTGGCTATCTTGTTTAAACAAAATGCAACAAGGCTTAATAATAGAAGACGCTTAAACATGTAACAATTCACAACGCAAGAGGTTTCCAGTTTGATTATCATGAATGTGTGACTAAGTGGACATGTACTTGTACTTTGTTTGATTTCTTGTTTTATTTTTGTGTCAAATGATTAAAGCTTGTGATGCAGGACAGAAATTTGCTAAACTTAGAATAAATATGCTCAGCAAAAAAACAGGTTACATTTGAACCACCCAAATTGTAATGAGATTTATATCAATTGTAATTGGTTCTAACACAATTTGTTTTTCTTCTTCAGATGTTTTTTTGACAAGCAATATTTTCTGCTAGCAGGATACTGAGTGCGAAATATTTTTTTTTAAATTAGGGAAGACCGCAAATTTTTGCAAATGCAGAGCACAAAGTGATGCCGCTTGGCATTTTGCGATGTTTTCATTTTGAGTCTCAAGCACAAGGTGCCGCCGAATATTATTCCATCATAAAGCAAACGATGAACGCAAAGTATAATCACAATTGGGAGATTTCTTTTGAGGATAATCTTATGTGTTTTCGATACTTTCGATATGATTCTTCATTATTGAACATTTCGACATTTCCACATGATTAACAACTTGCTATCAGCGATATCGATATCATAATAATATCGAATAATTGAGTAATATCGAATAGAAACTTGTTACACGGTGTAACCGTTACACTACTTGGTCTGTGCAAACCTTTCAAACTTGGTGCCACAGCAGAAAATGGATGTCGCCGAATAAGTCTCCACAATGTTAGGTCAAAAACCAATACTGAAGGTTTCTGTTCATATTTCCCTTGTTCTCCGAGTCTAGTTTCCCGAGGTCAACCTAGAGCAGTGGTTTCTGGAGGAGCGTTGCCTCTACAAGGAGTCACAGATCATCAATGGAGTGACCTGCGAGATCAGAGAGCGGCTAGTAGACGCCGTGGTCATCCCCGTGGTCAACCCTTCCCAGCCGATCCAGCGAGCCCAGATCAAAGTGGACTGCTGTATGAGTATGTTTAACGTAGACTTGGGCTTTTAATGACGCTTTGTTCTTAGGTGTGTGCTTGTAAAATCGTGTGTGTTTGTAAGCAATTGGATGAAGGTCCTCAGTTGGAATTCATGTTCGACACCCATGTGGGACATAGCACTTGGGTGAAGTGACCTTGAACAATAGGGTCCTCAGTTTGGTGAAGGTCCACAATTGGAAATCATGTATAAAGCCAATAGTGGACTTTTTTTCCATTCCTGAACAAGAGAGGACATTTAATACCGTCAATATTTCAGGGAAGGTCCACGGTTGGAAATCATGTCCAAAACCAATGTGGGATATTAGGGTCCACAAATGGGTGAAGGTCCACAGTTGGAAATCATACAAAATTGTACAAAACCAATAGTGGACTTTTTCCAACTCTTGAACAAGGGTCCCCTATAAGGTCAAGGTCCACAGTTGGTAGATGTACAAAACCAATGAAGGTTTTTTCCAGGTGACCTTGAACTATAGGGTCCTCGATTGGGTGAAAGTCCTCAGTTGCAGATCATGTACAAAACCAATAGGACTTTTTCCATTCTTGAACAAGGGAGGGCATTAAGGTTCCCGGTTGGGTGTACATGTACATGTAGGTCCACATTTGGAAATCATGTATAAAACCAATGGGGGTCTTTAGGGTCCACACATGGGTGAAGGTCCTCTATTGGAAATCACGTAAAAAGCCAATGCTGGACAGTATCAACTCATGAAATAAAGAGGACATAGGGTCTTTGACTAGGTGAAAGTCCTCAGATAGAACTCATGTACAAAACCAATGGGGAACTTCCCAAAAAGTCACTAACAATACGAGGACAACAGGAGGTCCTCAACTGAAGGTGTTCATACACTTGTGTGTGATGTACATTGTACATGCACAGGTTTTTCAATGATGACTGAGGACTTGCAACAAAGGCTTTATAACCTAACAGGAACTCTGAGGACCTGAACCCAAGTCCTCGGTACATTTTGTGTACAAACCTTATGGGACATGTCAAGAAATGTTTTTAAAGTCCTAAGTTTTTAAAGAACATAAGATGGTACAGATCATTGGTAGTAAACATGTAGTAATCATAGATTGTGTGTAGAACGTTGTCCAGATCATTACAGAATCCTAACTTATTTTGGCGATTTTTTATTTTTATGGAAAATTAAGTGACTGGGATTGAATTGTTTCTTATAGAAATGTATTTATGTGACTGGAATTGTATTCATGGGATTTATGAATTTCAACTCCATTCACACTCAAGATAAAATAAATGATCAAACACGTTTCCCGAAAATGAGGCACATTTGTAACTTAGATCTTAACCTTCAGTATTAAGAAAACTCTCAATTCAGACAACTTCACAAAGTGACAACAAAAATCGTCACTGCTCTCTATTACAATTCCAAATCCCTAAACAAAGCCCTATTTATGGCCACATGATGTATTGTATTTTATTGATTTCAGTTTAAATGGTCAGTATTGTAATGTATTCCATTGTGTAAATAATAATAAAAAATAGTTAAATTGTACATGAAGAAATCACGCATTTGACAAACGTAAACCAGTCATACCTCATTATAATTCACAGAAAATTTCAAATGGGAAAGTGGGACCTCACTGAATGTAGATTTAAGAGGATTTTTTATGTAAAACTGTTCAAAATAGCTCGACAGATTGAAAACCTACAGGTATCTTAAAAGGTATTTGTTATTTTAATATTTTCTGTTAAAACTTGTTCTCCCTAAGCTTTTCCAAATAATATCCGATTTTTTTTCTGACAGGTTTTTTTATTTTGCAAGTTTTATTTTGAGAAAAAATCCTATTTTTTTTTAAACTATTTTTTTGGAAATCCTCTGAAAAAAACTTTTAATTTTGGTTGCTTTTAAGCATTTAACAATTTTTTTTTCAAAAGTGAACGACTTTTGTATTGATGGGGGAAATGCAATAAAAAAAGGTTATTTTTTTTCGCGATGAAACAGGGAAAGAGCACAGAAAGAGCAACTTAAAAGGCATCATTTGCTTTTCATGCATTTTGTTTGTTTCCAATAATAACACCACTCACAATCCAAAGAAGAATGTTCAAAACCCAACCTGTTGAAGTTTCAGCTCAGTCGGGATTATACTTTTCGAGAAATCACTGGGGAAAAAAACCCATGTGCAACGTTTTGATCACTCTATCGAGTTACTATTTCCCCCAAAAATAGGTCAACTAAACTGATCGAGCGTTGGAAATCACCTTCATTTCTTGATTGCTTCTACGGTAAATGACAGCAAGTCAGAGGGAACAGTTTCACGGGTGTTTATTACCAATATGATCTTTAATCCAAGTAAGCTTTTGAGATAATAATTTGCCAGCTCACAATGTACTTTTGGAATAACTGCAATTTGCAAATGATCCTATATGCCTTCAAGCGACTGATAAATTCCGATGTATAAATTCAAAAATTGGAGCTGGCTTATGACTAAAAGACACCTAGACACCCCTCTGGCAAAAATCCATGCAGTAAAAGATTTTCTAGAGAAAGCATCCTGCTATGAGGAGACCTGTGTACTAAACAATGCCGGTAGCACGAAAGCAAACGAAGGGAAAGCAAAATTGGAATCAACAATCACCATGAGGACGATCAAACATGGTCCTCCAGCAATCATGCCACTTACACCGGCCAAATTACTGGGGGTGATCAGCATGCGGCTGCACGTATGTGTCGCGTCAAATTGCGGGACGTGTAAATTAGCATGAATTTTTTTCTGGGGGGATATCCATGAAAAGAAGAGGAGCAGGGATGATACGGAGGAATTAAGAAGCAGCTTAGGTAAAGCCTTCCCCATGTGCGAGCCGTCGCCCGTTGCAATCAACTTCGGCCGGCTGGTTTCATTTTCAAAAAGAGAGGGGAAAAAAAAAGAAATAAAAGAGAAATTCGGGGATGAAAACAGCAAATGTCAACAGGGTCGGCTGGTAGCAATCAGACAGATCCTGTTCTAAGGTTTTCTGAAGCGAGGGGAAGTAATGAAGAAAGCTTCAGGTTAATTTTCGGTGACGTCTTCGGGAAGATGTTCGCAATAACAAATTCGGCAGCGGCACGAGAACAGATACAGTCAGAGGCTTTTAAGATTGGGGTTTTAAGACGCATTTGTGGGTGTGAAAGGTGTTACAGATGTATAAAATTGATCTTGATGTTTGAGTTTATTTATTTATTTATTTATTTATTTATTTATGGAGAGCCTCAAACAGAGCTAATATGTGGTGCAGGTGCGGCAATCAATAGAGAAAGTACATGGCGCAGGGTAATAAGTGAGTAACCACAGACGATATTGCGGGTTTTTCTCCTCAGGCGCACAACCTCAATTGTCAGGAAATTCATCCTAGCAATCAGAAGAATGTTTAGACAAGTGAATCCCATGGACATACTTTACACTGACTTTTACATGATGCTTTGAAAGTTGCAAGCACTGTCCATAACATATGAGTGTTTTACCAAGCCCAAGACTTCTGTATTCCCCCCCCCCCCCTGTTTTTCATGATATATCGATAACCAGGATACAGAACTCGGGGTTCCTAAGCTAAAGGATCTTGCCAGTGAGAAGTGTAACCCTAACCCTGCTAAATCCAACAGGATCCAACTACCGGTATTTCACATACCCAATGGAGCCTGTTGGATTGAGCAGTTAACCCCTTGTGAACATTCCTCATGCAAAATGTTGGATTCAGCAGGCAACTGAACCGCATTATAACGCCATGTTGGACTCCGTTGGATTCAGCAGACAACTGAAAATGAGGCACAGTGGATTGAACAGCAAAGTCCGGTTGGATTTAGCAGGGTAGTCCTGAGGAAGTACTAGGGGGTTAGGGCTATGTTTTTTGATAATTTTTTTTTTTCTGGTTTGGGTGTGGCATAGCTCAAAAAATATGTATATTTAGCACAAATGAATATTCATTGTATAAACCATAATATCAGAAACATATGAACTTAAATATTACGATACACTGTAGTAAAGACTCATGTATCGTATTTACAATAACTTAAAACACGAAATAAAAATTATGTAAAAATTCTCTAAATCAATAAAAAAAACAAGGATGATCATAAAATCTATTTTGGATGTACAATAATTTTGAAATTTAATGAAGTAAAGTAAATCAGTGTATGTTTCTGTCAGTAGCCAGTATTTAGTAGTTCCGTACGGTACGTGGTGTGTATGTAGTTTTTGGCTGCTTTTAGGTTGTACATTTTAAAAATGAAAAAGTAGTTACGAGTGAGAAAATGTACGTTACGTGTAATGTCTTTTAAGGTGATGTACATAATTGTTATTAATGGTGAAGGCATGGACATGCGTCAATAAACACAGGCAATGGTGACAGGAAGAAATTAAAGTACATGCAAATGGTGTCGTTACATTTATCTTGTTTTGTATTATCTTTAGTAGGAGGGGGGAGAACATGATGCACAGAAACCACTCCCCTTTCTTTCGACCCTATATTGTTGATGTGCCCTAACGTGGCGCGGCCCCTAACGTGGCGCACTTTGATTTTTCGCCTGTAGCACCTACACCTAGAGTAAAAGTTTTAACTGAAATTTCACAGAAAGTGAAATTTCATCAAGTTCTAAACATTCCTGTTCATAAATCGTGAGTTTATTTACCCGTAACAAAGTGAGAAGTAAAAGTTATTTTGGCGTGATTTTCCGATTTTATTTTCAAGTGCAAAGTGAACCCTTTGAAAATGCCCCGAAAAATAAGAAAATAATTTTCTGACAAACATCTGGCTGGGTATGTAAGTAGAGATAATAATTATTTATCAGAATTTATCAAGTTTACAGAAATCCTTAAATGTTAATTTGGAATTTCCGAGATTTATTCAAGTGCGCCACGTTAGGGAACACTCCGCCAATTTGTGCATAATTTCCGGACGCCACCGTTTTTGAATTTCAGATCAAATTTTATGAAACCGAAATTGTTCACAGAGGATATTGGTAAAAGTACTAGTATTTTACTGCATGAATTAGAGGTTTGTCAAAAAAGAGGTTTGGCAACACTACACAAGTAAAGTCGGGTAAGCTTCGAAGTGCGCCACGTTAGGGAACACGCCTATAATTAGAGCCCAAGGCATCTGCAACTACCGAGGTAGGGGTGTGCATTTAAGGGTAGTACGGAACCGGGTACCCGATAGAAAAAAACATGGGAACCCAGAAAGCCGAACCCAACACAAAATTCAAATCTCTGAAGTTGCTGTTCAGATTGCACAAAAACAATTTCAGTGCCCCCTTGAAAAACTAGTGCACCCCCAGGTGTCTACCGCCCCCCCCCCCCCCCCCCCCCCCCCCTCGGAAAAAGTTTAACCCTAGTTAAGGTACGCCACTGGGTGGAAACCATCCTACCCCACAAAAACAGAATTATTGGCTATCTGCAAAGAATTTCAAAAATTGCAAAATATACGAATTCAACAACTACACAATGGCAAATTTTTTTCGGTTGACGTCTCATTAAAAAATGCATAGTTTTTTGGTATTGCTAGAAAAATTGCCAAATAGAAAAGGAATCTAGTTTGGGAATGAATCGCAAAAGTAGCACAGGAATACAACTTTAATAATTTAGAACACATGAAAGGAAAACAAAAAACAAAAAAAAAAAAAAAATCCAAAGACAAAAGGCAAGGAAGCGCGATGGAGACAAAGTGGCGACAAGGATCATGCATGACAAAACCATAAATGCAGTTCAGGAATAGGTAACCATGGTAACAGCCATTTCAAAACTGTTAATAACACACACGGTGCGTTAATGCAATTCTTGGACAAAGGATTAACTACGAATATGATTTGAATAGTTAGAATAGCAATTAAATCTCCATTGACGTGCAACAAAAATCTTTTCGTGACAAAATTTTCCCTTTCAAAGGCAATACACTAGAGGTTGTTTTGTTGCAGGTTGTACATGTGTATTCGCACTCCCAAGAGTCACTGAAATATTTTTATTGCTTTTCAGAACAAAACAAAAAATAGAATACAAAATGTGCAGGCATACAACTGGGAAGTTGAAACGGAAAGAGGAATTTTCTAGCTTTGCAAGACTCTAGATTCAGTAATTTTCAATTTTTAATGGCATAAGTGTGTAGTGAAAAACAAGGAAATCAGCTAAATCCAAAAGTTACGCGGACGTGTGGCCATTCACTATAAAATACCTCAGCACATTCACAGTCGCAACAATAATGTTTTGTTGGCCTTCACAGCTCAGGATAACAAACAGATCCTCAAAACCATTTCAAATTTAGCACAATTACAAAATGAGAAAGCAGAGATGGTTGACTTACCTTGTCTGGTTTGCTCTTCCCGTTGCCAAAGAAATGAGATGTCTTCTTCTTCGGAGATACTGTCTTGGTTGACGGGGAAGCCGACCTTGCTCTGGGCTCGGGGATCCCGCAGAACATCCTTGGTAGTCTGCTTTTCCCTGGCGACCCCAGGCTTGTCGGGCTTCTCTGATTTGCCCTGGCAGACTCCAAGTTTGGCTCGGGTTGGTGGGTTTCTTTGATCTGTTTGGCAGCGCCCGAGGCGTTGTGCTTCTTGTAGAGGGAGCCGTGTTTGACGAACCTCCTGCCAGGGGCAACCTCACTGTCCGGGTCGCTTGAGGAAGCTTGCGGAGAGGGCTCCAAGATGGAGGCATCCGAGTGGCTTTTCTCCAGGGAGGCCGGCAGACCTGAATCTGAGCCGCTGTCCAGGGTTCCTTCTGGTGATGCCAAACGTACTAAGCCTGGAGGAGTGTCATAACCATTCAAGGTACAGGCATTACTCCCATCTGCTTCTAACCTACTCATAATCCTGGATACCTCATTAAGACCCGCGGAGGCATCATTACTAAGATAATCCTGCCGACTCGTATCCTTCTCATAAATGTCCTTGCTTAGTTTCAATGAAGACAGCTCCAAGTTTAAGGCTTCGAGTTCAGTGCTCGTAGGACGTTCAAAATCATACTGTCCTGTGGAGAAGGCTTCTGGTTTCGCTTGTGAGAAATTGATGGCCAGTTTGCTGGTCTTGGGCTTAAACTCGCGGAGCTCAGGCGATTTCTGGTGCTCTGGGGCGGTGTGTGACATCGACCGCTGCTTGCAGGGTCTCTTGGGAGATGGGCTCCGGCTGCCATTGTCTCGCATTAACAAGTTCCTCATGACCTCCCTGGCTCCTCTGAAGGGGTTCTCCAATGACCTGTGGGTCCAAGTCTTGGAGCTGCTAGAGGACTGTCCTGACTGAGTCTTGAAGGGATCAGTGGCACGCCTTTTGCTGGATAGGACACTGCAGGCAGTGGAGAAGGCTGAATTCTCAGCCGAGCCGAGCTGATTTGGCCCCTCGATGCTGAAGACTGGTAAGTAGAGGTCATTCTTGGAGGTTGAGCCTTCTCGAACATTGCCAGATTTGTCTCCCAGGTTGCTCGGCGAGGTTCGGAGCCCCGTCTTCTGATCCTTCACTGGGAAGGAGAAGACATCATCATCTCCTTCCTCGTCTCTCTGATCACTCTGTTGAGATGTCGCAAAGACCTCTGAGAAAGCTTCCCTAAGCCCAACTTTTCCATCGGGAGTCTCTGGGCTTTCCTTGGATCGAGATTGGTGGTCATCATGTGCCACACCCTGCTGCACTGATGTAACGTTGGTGTTTGGGTTGCTACCATCTTGGGATAACTCTGTGGTAGGACTCTTGGAAGCCTTGTCGCTGACTCCTCCTCCTCCTCCACTTCCTCCGGAGGTCCCACCTCCGGATGAACTATCCCCGTTAGGGTCATCTCTCGTTGGGGGGACACCAAAACAACCATCTCCGGACGAACCAACCCCATTTAGAGCTGCCTCCATGGCCTGCTCAACAATCGCAAGGCTCATTTCACGAGCCACTGTGTAAGCGGCTATATTCTCAAGCATGGCATCATCAATGACGGCTTGGACGAGGGGCGGCTCCGGAGAAGGAGGCAGGCTATTGAGGTGTGCATCCTCAAAGGCTTCTTGGCTTTCAGCATCATCAGAATCGACAGTACCATCTACGCGTTTGCAGGCGTCCTCTGTGACACCATCTACGCGTTGCTGGGCCTCTGCGGGAGCATCTTCTGTCTTGCCCTGTTCAGCATACTTGCTTATTGGAGGAATGTCAACACAAACGGCATCCGACTCTTCTGACGTCTGATTGGCTGCTGTGAAGGCTTGCACCGTGAATCTGCAAAAGGTCAAAGGTCACAAATTGGCAAATGGAGGACACTCACTGAATTTTCCAATTGATGTTGAAAAGATTTATGAATGGGGCCACTGAATATACATAAAAAGATGATGAATATGGATAATTTGCATATTTGTGGAATGTACCCCTTGATCATACTTTAGTTCTCCATCTCTTACTTTGTTTCATTTCAAACTAATTCAACAAAAAATCTCCAAGAAGTGCAAATTCTTCTTTGAATTTCACATACTCAGACCAGTTTTGTTTAAAACTGCTTCCAAACTGTAAAGTGAGTTGAAATTTTAACACCAAAAAAAATATGTTGATGATGGGCAAACCCAGTACTACATAAAATTCCATCATAAGTAATTTCCAAATTCTTGCTTACTGGGGGTCAGAGGGAGTTAACAAGTGCAAAATTAATTGACCATCTCTGTGGGGTATACGTAGGGGAGGGTGACATTTTAGAAATTCCAAGATTGATTTCCAGCTATCCGTTTGCGGACTCACCTATAGGTCCCTGGCAGCAGTCCCCCCAAGATTGCCTGGGAGGTCGGCACCTCAATCGCCTCTTGAGGGCGCTCATCCTTGTTGACCAGCAACCGATAGCCACATACAGAGAGACCAGAAGTGGATGGCGATGGTTCCTCGCTGACTGTAGAGGGCTCCCAGCTCAGGGAGAGGCTCGTGTCGGAGTGCAGGGTTGCGCGCAGGTTCTGCGGAGTGCTCGGCTTCGGCAAGGAGATTCCTGACGAATCTCGTGGTGATGACACAGTCTCAAGAAGAAAAAGAAGGCGAGGGAATAAGAATTAGAGGTTTTCACTTTGGCACTGAGATGAAGGCATTCCCTAGTCATTGCTCATCCTCTGTTACGTTTTTCCGTGTGGTCGACTCGGTTACGAATCAAGACGCAGGAGGAGTAAAAAAAGGAAACCCAAATGTCAGGACCATTGTTTTAATGAAGTTTTGCATGTAGCACTTTCAAAATCTAGGATATGAAAGCCTAATTAATAAGCTTTCTTTTAGTACAAGACTCATTCAAATCACTCATGTACTTTTCAACAGAAACACAAACACCGTTTCAAACTTCCTCGGATCACAAAAAAGGAAGTGTTCTTTCAGCAAAAGGAAAACAATTCACATGCATCCCTGTGAGAATTGTTTTTTCGTTTTGCTGACAGAACACTTTTTCGTGACCCGTAGACAGAACTTTAAAACGATGTTTGTATTCAAAATTCTGTAACTTGAAAAGTACTGGGTGATTTGAATGATTCTTGTACTAATAGAAAGCTCATTGATTGGGCTTTCCTATCCTAGATTTTGAAAGCGCTACAGGCAAAACCACATTAAAAAATTTGTTATGACATTTGTGTTGTTTGCAATCTCACCTGTGGTCTCTTGATTTTGCGGAGCGGGGAGGGCGACTGCGGCGGCTGATTTGAAGACTGTGCCTCATTCAATCCACCAGCAGCTATCAGGCTGACAATAGCATCCATGGACTCCTGTAGCCTCTTAACCTGTCGTTAAACGAAAAATGTTCAAAACATTCAAATCAATAGATTAATCCATTCAGACCTGCCCACTGCATACACGCGACACAACACATGAATGTTCCAACCACTTGTATCCTACACAAGTGCATGCATGTCGGACTTTTGCCAAGGATTTGGTTCCGGGATCACAGCGACGACTGGTCAAAACAGCGTGGACCCGGCACTTGGTATGCTCAGAATTCTTGAGTTCCAATGCCAAAATTCTCAACTCTTGATTTAATTCATTTGTTGATATCATCCTCTATCGCTGCCGCGGTTTCGCTGTGCTTGCCTGGGAGGAAATTGCTACTTTACAGGAGCACAATCCAAAAATCTAGTCTTGGATCAAGACAAGATTAGACCCACCTCCTGTTGAAAGCCTTCTTGACTAGCGTCAGCCTGGCTGGCAGCCTTGGGCTCTGGGAAGGCAAGCTCTAGCCCTCCCTTGCTGTTCCTGGTGAACAACGGGGAGGTGGCAGAGCATCTTCAAGTAAGACTAGATTGGACTCATGTGCTATTGGAGGCCTTCTTGACCAGCGTCGGCCTAGCTGGCAGCCTTGGGCTCTGGGGAGACAAACTCTTGCCCTCCCTTGCCATTCCTGGTGAACAGCAGGGAGGTGGCACAGCACCTTGGACCAAGACAAGACTGGACTCACCTTCTGTTGGAGGCCTTCTCTACCAGCATCGGCATGGCTGGCAGCCTTGGGCTCTAGGAAGACACACTCTTGCCCTCCCTTGCCATTCCTGGAGAACAGCAGGGAGGTGACAGACCACCATGGACCAATACTAGATCGGACTCACCTGCTGTTGGAGGCCTTCTTGTCCAGCATCAGCATGGCTGGCAGCCTTGGGCTCTGGGAAGACAAACTCTTGTCCTCCCTCTCCGTTCCTGGTGAACAGTGGTGAGGTGGCTACGCTCTTGGTCTGTCTACGGCCGGGCGAGGCTTCAGCCTTCACCTCCATGTCATGCTTCCAGTCGTGCAATGTCTTCACCTGAAAATGAAAAGGAAAGGGCAGCGACTGGGGCATCTTTAGACATCACCTCAATAATACCAGCAGAAAATTGTAGAGAAAATTTTCCCCTGTAAGCTGATTGAATCTACGTCAGCAATATCTAGCTACGGTTACTTACCTGTGACCAGAGCAGTTTCAACGCTTCCATCTGAAGAGTGCGTAGCTGCCTTTCCTGCTCGTACAATTGCCTCGTCCTTGTCAAAACAAATAAATAAATCAACCAATATACAATTTAATCTGGTACGGAAGTGAAGTCAAATGTGAAATCATCAACTCATATCAATATTCATGCTGAATACACTTCAAGTTGTTACCTCACTCATACACACACACAGAATACTTCAATGGGGTTGCATTTAGGCAACCCCACCCATACTGAAATTTGTATCCTAGTGGAGACATTATTTTGTTCTTGTGTACTAAAGTTTTCGAGTTTGAAAGTACAGTTTCAAAATGCTCTTATTTTTACCAGAATTAATCTCCTTGGCTGAAATTCGGACTTAATATCCCTTTTCTAAAACTCTTCCATTTGCGACAGATCAACATACCTTGGAAATTCCTAGTTTTTTAGTAAATCCATATGTCTATTTTGTGAAAACCTTGTGGAGACGCATCAATCTAAAGAAATTGCTCTGTGAAAGACGTATACAATCTTTTGTTCCCTATTGTGTGCATGTCTCCAGCGGGCACGGTGTATCAGATCATCGGTCCACATACTATTGAGTGTACACACACATACATGGTTCCTAGTAGGAAACCAAGCACAAAGAGTAACAATTGGGACACTAGATTCCACCAGTCAGTCTTCAGAAATCATGTGCCCCATATGTACTACTTTTCCATGACAGACCCGGCACTAGACACTTCCTGTGACATATGGGTTCCGTGCACATCAGATTTTGCAAGCTGCTCTTTGACGGTTGAAAATGATCACGATTTTTTTTTCTCCATATTTTTCCAGCACCAATGGATACAAAACATTGAACAGCTCAGTGGAACCATCTCTGCTAGGTTCATTTCACGCAACTACGACAATTACAAGGTCCCATACCTTTCTAGCTCACTGTTGAGGAACTTGATGTGGTCGTCCACACGTTGGACTCGGATGGCGTTCCGGGTGTCGACGACCACGGGGTCACGTCGTCTGGCACGATGGCCTCGCCAGTAAGCTTGGATCTTGATGGCTGCTTTCTCCTCTTTCTCCATGCTAGTGAATGGGTCATGATGGAAAGAGGATCACTTTTCAAGTTTGTCTTTTCTTCTTTTTTAAGTTGAACACAGACATTGACTGGAGCAGGGCTGGGGTATGAACCTGCAACCTCCGGATTGCCGTTCTGGTGCTCTACCAACTGAGCTATCCAGCCCCATGTTGGCAGTTCCCCATTTTGTCAATATCCTTGTTCAATGGGGCATAAACAAATCTATGCCATGTAGCCAGGAATCACGCCCAAAGTCTCGATACTGGCAAACATTTAGCAATGACGCAAACCTGGCATATAGCAAACTGGGATCACTCAAAGAGGATTTTGCCTTTCTGTATCAAAATTATTACATTTTTTATGAGACAGGCTAGGCTCCCAGAATGGGTAAAATTCCAATATAGGATTTTGTCCTACATTTATGTAATATTCCATAAAATCTGATAAATCTTTGAAAATTTCTCGAGGGCCAAATGCACTCCAAGGATCAAGATACATATCTGACATGGATTTATATTATAACTCTTCAATGCCATTTCCCCAGTGTTGTAGTCTGGGCAGCATTTTGGCGCTGTGACCATAAGCAGTTTTTGGTTCGGGACCGTTTTGGCGCTTCGGTTACGCTGCCCTTTTCAAAGACAGAGTCAACTAAAAAAAAGCTACATTCCAAAAAAATCTCACCTTTTACTTCTGGTTGCACCCTTTGCTTGATTATCCCTGCTGACGTCCTGGTTAGACGAGGCCCTGCCCAACACCTGCGGCTGATGACCTTGACCTTCGACCTGATGACCTCTGGGGTCGAGCCTTTCCACGGTGACCCCCCGCCGGTCCCTCTTCTTGCTCTGCTTGGTCGGAGACGGCGAGGACAGTGAAGATGGCGCGGAGGGCGATTTGCTTATCTTCCGGCTGTTGGCGATTTCCTTGATTCGTTTCAGCTCCGCGCTACTGTAGGTGTCATCTCTCCTGGATGCCTCAGGGTTGGGGGAGCGGTTCCTTGTTGGTGTTCCGGGGGTAGGGGTGCCGGGGGTAGGGGTGCTGGGATTGGAATGCCTGGTCTGGGATCTCGGCTTGCGGGTTGCCTTAGAGCTTGGCGTGGTGTGGACGGCGAGTTTGGCAGTCCCGAGCTTCTTCTTAGCTAGCGGTTTCATAGGCCTGCTGTCGTACGCCTCGTATTTTGTGACCCCGTGCGTGGGGGTGTAAGAGTCGTGACCAGGGTCAAGATGCCCCGACACATGACCCAGATCGGAGTTAAAGGTGAATGCCGTCGCAGGTCGTTGTGACTTGGTGTCGCCTAGCACATCAATGTCGCGGGAGGGGATGGTGTGGGGCGGGGCGGTGACTGGTCGTTCGTCGTGGGTTGTGGGCGAGGACTCGGTGACGGGTAAGTAGTAGGACTCGGAAACCAGCTGACTGGTATTACTCATCGTTTCCTCATCTGTTTCAACAAAAATGTATTCACAATGAATGTGGCTCAAATGGCTGTGCCGTCACGGATCCTTGTATTGAAGCTTTGTAAACTGGAGTGCCTTGGCCTACTGGTTTTGAGCCTTGATCTTAAGATTTTGGGTCTGAATTTTTCAGCCTATGTTGATTTTGGCATAAAGTGTCCATAGGCAAGACACTTTATCATAATAATTGTTTCTCCCCTCCTAGGAGATGTTTAGGATGCTTGGCAACATGTGAGCAGTGTAAGAAAGAACAGCAAGTTTTTAGGACTGTCGGCATTGTCCCATCATTTCCTTCAACATCCTTCAACATCCAATACCAATATGAGCGATTCCCAATACAGTGGGCCACGGTAGAGGTTGCCACAGAGACCTCATTTTTTCAAGTTTAGGTCCACAAAAACATGGCCGACTTCCCGCGATTTGAATGAATGTCAGTGGACAACTTGATGACATTTTTGATAGATCAGTGCATAGCATTCTACCGCCTCACAAAAAAAAAAAAATTGACAAAAAGAAAAGAAAAGAAAAAAAGAAACTTGAAAATCTTACGCTTATGAAACTACTGACCGGACAAACTATTTTAAGTGTCTCGCGCCGTGGCAAATTTGGCGACCGCCTCCCACAATGCACTGCAAAAAAGTGGACTCTCTGTGGTATCCTCTTGGTGGCGCTCTGTATAGGTCTCTCCCAATGACGGCCATCTCTGTAGGCGAACTGCAACTGCAAAAGCACGCATTGCGCAGTGTTGAAAATGTTCCAAACACGCGCTCTTGTTGCTCGAAATGTGTTCGAAATGCGACGCAGCCGATGTGTGTACATGTGTGCAAGTTGACGCTCAAAATGCCAAGGCACGTGGCTGGTCTGTAGGAAATGACGTAATTTGAGAGAGACCTATTGGGAATCGCCCATATTACCAATAGTGTAACCACTATAAGGATCTATTCACAGATACATGAAAATCTCATTGCTTATTTCCTTTTTTAAAATTTAACTCCCTGTGTACTAGAGATAGTACCTTCCAGATCCTGTAGCACCATATCGAGTAAATTCTCTCGCTCCGTGGATGCTGGTTTGAAGTTCAAATGCACCTGCTCCAAGTCCCACGCAGCCTTCCCTACTAGCTGTCGCCCATCGGCCACGCCCTGGGGAGATGGGGAGGCAACAGGGGCGGGTGAGACCACAGCCACGCCCATGGTCACGCCCGGGGGCTTAGGGGAGGTGCTTTTGGGGAGGTTCTTGGTGTTTCTCGCAGGGGAATGCCGGGTCGGCGAAGACGCGCCGGCCCTTGTCGTTGGGGAGTGCTTGAGGTGTGCGGGCGTGGGCGTGAGGGGGGCCTGCTGGGGCGAGCGGTGTGGGTGTGACTCGGGTTGGGCCGGGTGGGGCTGGGCGGGGCCCCGTCGTAGCTGCTTCTGGTGCAGCCGCTGCTGCTTCAGCACTTTGACCAATTTCTCGTCTTCTTTGCACTGCAGCTGTCGATATCAGATAAATTTTTTCAATGGAAAAAAAATTACGTTAAAAATTAAAGCATTTCACAAAATTGAAGCTCAAAATTGTTATTATAATGCACATTTATTATGAAAAAAAGGATGGATGGTAAACAACGTCACACGTTTTGTTCCTTAGTTCCTTCTAAGTAAATACTAATTTACAAAATCATCATCAAAACATTTTAACAAAGTTGAACAAAATGGTTATACTCAAATCTAAATATCAAGTGTTTTTTTTCTTTTTAGTCTTTAGGAGGTCATAATCTAAGTTTTATACAGGATTACGCTTAGAATTTGTCTTCACATTAATAATCAATTTGACCACACACTGGCTTTTTTTTTACAACCTGCACCTGCTAAAAACACAGGCTTCTAAAAATGGGAAAAGTCAGGCAAGGTGCCCCGAAGCCGTGATGCTTAATTTGGTATGTGTGTGTACCACCCGGAGTATTTATAGGTATCCTGATGAAATATCCTGACAGATGGTCAAGGGATACCCTCGGGTTTTTAACGGTTTACTGTAAAACAATGCCTAAGAGTACTAGACAGAATTCCGAGGCTGTCCCTATAAATTAAAAGTTGTATAGTAATCACATCTTAAGGCCTATTTACACATACGCGACAAAGTCGCACGTTTACACGACAAAGTCGCGCGTTTCAATAAATATGCACAAAGGAGTGCGTTTAAAATTATTCATAAGATTGAATTTGCATCGGGGGGATGTAAATTCAATATAAGGTTTTGCCCTTGACCGACATATAAACACTGTATACTCAATGTGTCCCCTCCCCCCTTCCCCCCCCCCCCCCCCCCCGAGTGAAAGTGAGAAAAAAATCACTAGGGTGGGACTCGAACCCACGACCTGCTGCTTTCTAGTGCAGACGTCTTTACCACTTGACCACCGAGCTTGCCAGGACGGCTGGTTGGTTTGAATCTGATGTAGCAGTGGGTTTCGCAATGAAACTATTCATAAGATGGAATTGACGTCGGGGCGATGTAAATTCAATATCAGGTTTTGCCCTTCACCGACGTATAAACACTGTACACTACCGGTATGTGTTTACATTGACATGACGACAAAGTCGTGCAACTTATCGCACGATTTTTCTAAATCGAATTAGAAGGGATTTTTACTGCGCGACATGATATGTCTCATACGCATTTCACTTGGATTCTGGGCCTGAATTGATTGGTTGTCAAAAAAGGACAAAAACATAGCGACGTATCACATGTTTGTGGACACATGCGCATCCTAGGCAGATTGTTTATCACAGAATGCATAGTGTCGAATCTTCACGTGCGTGCAAGCAGTTGGAAGACCAAGCTGGCTAAGTATATCAATACCCTACATGACTTGCTAGACACATTAAAATTCAACTAGTATATTCTAGGGACACACTTTCTAGTAAATTATTTAACATTAGGGAGACACCGGGCATTAGGGAGATATATGAATGTCTCTTTAATGTTGTCTGGAAGGATTTTTTTCAATTGAAAGTTGCCTACACCCATTCCCTAAGTCGGGAATAGTATATTTGAACAGTTCGAGGTAGGGAAAGTTTTTAGAAACGGGGTTATGGGAGAGTTTTTGGTTGTACGCATGTCTATGAGAATGGCTCCCTGTTTTAGTTACCATCTTCGGTGAGTTATATTCTCACATTTGGCCAAAAAAAATACAATTTGTGAATAAGTACTAAAATACAGCTGTAATGAACATAATTGCGTAAGTGAATTTCGACATGAAACGTGGCCCCCGTTTGGTGTCGCGCAGACCCTGCCAAGTCAGATTAGAGGCGAGGGCATCCGCGACAGGAAACGAGGCCCCAAGGCCCGCACCACGTGGTCCTAATGAGTGCTGACGGATAGATCCTGAAGAGCGGATGCCGTGATGGCATCAACGAGGGAGGGGACAGACAGGGAGGGGGAGGGGTAATCATAGCTGCACTGGGATGATAACGTTGCCCTGCAGGTTGACCTCTTAGGGGTAATGGGGGGAGGGAGGTAGGGGGCTCAAATCATAACACTGCCAAGCACAGATAATTGTGACCTACTGAGGCTAAATCAGGAATGTCTACCCGAAACCTTGTTTTGAGTATAAATCAGCACCTGAAGTCGCCTATACTTGAAAAATCTTGTCAAAATCAATTTATTTTGGGTTTTTTTTTGGGGGGGGGGTCTATTTTTGGGATGCCAAGGTATCTTAGGCTGCATCCGAATCAGCTGTCTAGGGCTAGGTCTAGGTCTGGGCCCATTGAAAATATGCGGGGACGCGCTGACAATAGACGTAGCCGTAGCTCTGGAAGCCCTTTTCGGACACGGCCTAAGATTCACACCGTGCATTTTGGTTGTGAATAAAAATACCCCCAAAAGCGAAGAAAAAAAATTGATTTCTGAAAGACGTTTGTTTGAAGTTTTTCAAAAAGCGTCAATAATTTTATCTGAGTGACTAAAAATGACCCAAGTTCACAGTGAAATTTTCAAGAGAATAGAAAAGTACGTATACCTTTGTGTGGCACCATATGCGTACACATCGCACATAAAGCTTGCAATGCGCAACACGCAACGCAGAGCTGTCTTTCTCGACGAAATGCACACGGCAAACGTCGGAGATTTTCGGGAACGGGAGGCATGCCTCCCGTTTTGGTCATGTGCCATGTATATACTAGCGGTTACCAGACCTAAGATTCATCAGAAATGAGGTAGTGGGAGATTGCCGAAGCACAACCGACTTACCCGCAACATTTCTTTGAAATTAATTGAGCTACAGAAATAACTTTGGCACCATTAGCAAGCTAAAGAGTTGCTCTTTTACATGGTGTATATAAAACTCAAAAAGTCAACCATGGTACAATGTTTTTTTTACCATTTTTCTGGAAAAGTGTAATATCCGCTGAGCTGAAACTTCAACAAGTTAGCTTTAACCCTACATGTAACTCCCTAGCATAATTTACTAGGAACCATACCCATTCTAGCAAATTCCAACACCCACATGGGAAATTGTACACACACACTGTTGGACTTACTTTCTGGAGGTGTGCTAAACCCTATGTAAGAGACCATCAGTTTAGGGGTACTGTACCTACCGGTATCCCAACAGATTTCAACAAAACCTGCTGTTGGGCTTTGATGGGTTGAGTTCGGTTAAGGTTAAGCATGTTAAATTTCCAAAGCAGAGATTTGTGCTTAATGCCCCGCGAAATTTTGGCCCAGACGAGAGGTTCACAAGTTACCAGAGGATTAAGGTCAGACCTGACACCCTGGGGGGCAGATCAGATTAGTGTGGCTTATGGGATTATCGGGATTAAGCTGGTATTATATCTTATTCAAATTGATCACAAGGATAATTCGATTCCTCTGTAAAGAAGCTGATAATTTTTCACAGCAGACTCACAAAATGTAATTAAATTACAGCGATGGCTTCTTCAGATTTCGCTTATTTATGGTACGTCTGCTGACCAAACAACTCAAGAGGGTGTGGGATGAGCGATGCAGCGCCAAGATTCCTCAACCTAGGAGTAGGCTTTCGTTTGGAGTACTGTGTCTTGAAACTTTCTTTACAACAATATCAAAATTGCTCTTTAAAGCATAAACCTTTCTCAACAACAATTATTTTTCTCAGGAACACATTTTGTGCAACTTTCTACTCCTCTTAAATGTATGAAAGCTATTTGACATCCCGTTCTGGCTAATTTTATTCAAAAGTGCACTTATTTTAATATTTTCCATGCTTTTTCCGGACTTAACTGAGGCCGCTGTTGCTGTTGCTGTGATGTCAGTACGACACTGTTCAGTTTAGGGGTTTTTCTGTTCAAACGTGAACCCAGAAATCTGCCCATTGAAAACATCTGTGATAAATGTTTGCTCATAATTGGCTTACTGCCATGTACCGACACAACGAATCACCAAAGAAAATTTTACGACAGTACAATATCCAAAAATCTAGTACATTTTGTGTACAAATACATGTAGTTGTAACGTTGAAGTTTCTGCCTGAAATGACATCACACTTTTGCTCATAAATATGGAAATCTGCATCAGCATACAAACCCAAAAGGCACCAAAATACCCTTGAAAATGGCAAAACGAAAATAAGGTTAAATGGGGCACACAGGGGCACTTTCAAGGATTGCATTAATTCCATTCCATGGGCCTCATAAGCATAGAAATTACTGCATCAAACTTTAAATGTCATTTGATACATGCAAAGTGAAGAAAAAGTTGGGCAAAAGTGATGAAGGCATTTGATAAAAAAATTGCTTTCTTCTCACTTTCGGGATAATTTCTTTATAAGGAGAGTGGTGTTGGATTGCCCCCGTTTTAATTGGATTAAGATCGTGCTTAAGCATAAGAATGCTGCCGCAATGCTTCTTTTCACTTATTTATCACTTTCAGCTAAAAAGCTTTCTTTACCCTCCTTGCAAACATAAAGTCTGTACCAAGTAGTCCTTTCAGTCAAAATCAAACAAGTGACTGTTTTCACAAAGCAGGATTGACTGGCTGGGACTGTTTAAGTAACTTGATACAGCTATGCTTTGACTCCTGGTCAGTGATAAAACAGCTGTGCCTACAACTTGCCTGCTTTGTCTGTTGACATAGTTTGACTAGACACAGTGCTTGCTTCACATGTGATCTGACTGCTGGTGACTAGCGTTTGTTAAAAGTATAGCAGGGGAAGTGGAAGTGAATTTTGACTGTCTGTGACTGTTTAAATAGCTGGAGGATTACGGTTCCAATAAAATGAAGATCAGCTAGGTGTACCCATTAAAGCACAAACTGGGTGGCGTGAATTTGGGCCCTGATAGGGTTATGATTTAAGTGCCACACAAGAGATTTTGAGACAAGACTTCCTGTTTGCGTAAAATACTCACCTCCGTTTCATTAGTCAGTGGGCAGGTATGGCTCAGGTACTCAATGAGCTGAGCGTGCTGACCAGGATGAAACCACCGACCTTTACCCTGGCTGTACAACCACTCGCCCTTCAAACTTAAATACACACACAGAAAGGTTCCGTAATTAGTAGAGAGCTATAGACTCTTTGCACAAGTACCCCCTCAACGGTCACGAGGGGAGAGTTGGGGGAGACCACTCGGAGGGACATTCGAACGCATAGCTCTCAACGCCTTAACCTTAACCATCCCAAATCCTCCAAAATCCTTTTTGCAAATTGGAGGAATTTGCAGGATTGAGGTTACATGGCAAAAGTGTGTTGCTGATTTCGGATTTTATACTTGGAAATCCTCCGCACTGCTCCGGGATGTCACTGCCTCTGCCTCAGCCTATTGACAGTCATAGCCGGAGGATTTTGCAGGATTCAGGCAGTGGTCACCTCTCCATGGACCATATTCAAGAAATAATGGAGGAATTTGCAGGATTGAGACTATATGCTATTTTTCCATAAGGCCAATTGGAGGATTTTGCATGATTGAGGCTACAAAAAGGCAAAAAGGCCTAGGGAGTTAAGGTCATGCAAAGACACAGTGGGTTCTGGATATCATTTAACTGCCTCAACGTAAAACAGTGATTGTTGGGGGATTTTGCAGGATTGAGGCAGTGGTTAAACCCCTCCGATGCCCAAATTCAAGAAATAACAGATGATTTCGCAGGATTGAGACTGTATCAAATGTCTGCAAGGAGGCAGCGGATGATTTTGAATGATGGAGGATGCGGTGTTTTTATTTGCAGCACACATCGTCAATGGATCATGATTATTCAGCTAGTTCGATGTTTATTCATAAGGAATAACAATGACGTCACACCATTGCTATCACTCAGTCATGCATGTTTATTAAAGCATTTCAAAGAACAGCTTTCGTCGAGCTGCCACAGTGGCCTAGTGAATAGTGGAACTATGGATCCCCAGATCTGTGGTTCGAAGCTATGTCCATTTCCATCAAACATTTTTGTTGGTTGGGATAAGTTTAACTGAAGGGAAAACACTACCTAAATGAACCTAAGTGTCCTCCATCCACACAGCGTGATAAATGTGATACGATCAAGCTACATGTTGGGAATTTTTATTTGGAAATACAGGCCTAAATAGGGCCACTTCAGCACATCACTTCATCACATTACTTGGTGTTCCGACTTCCATAATTTTTAAACTAAAGATGGTATCTGGATGCGGTTTTCACAGCAGTAATGCTGACATTGTGCTCTTTTCAAATCTGTAATAAACCAAATTTTGACCGGGGTCAACAAACGACTCATTTAGCTTGATCTCATCACAAATATTCATGTTAGGGTGGGTGATGGGATTTGTTTAAAATACAACGTATGCTGCAAAAAAAAAGAAATACGCATGGAGGATGCATCCTAGCTATTACGAAAAAGCTTTTAGGTCTGGATCCAAGACTCCCAGGTCACAAGGCCCATAGGCGGCAACCTTCCTGCACTTCCTCCCAGGTCAATCCAGATCATCCCCGGACTAATTTCCTCTTATTTACTCTCCAAACTGCGCTTCTGGTTTCTGTGAAAGCGTGCCGGCACGTGCGCCTTGAGCGTGGAAGGCCAGAGGGTAGCAACGTTACGGTTGCCTCCTGTCTACGGCTTCCGGGATAAGCTAACTACCCGTTCCTCTCATTAAAGGCCATGCAAGGTTTAAAGGGCCTAACTGTTTGAAATCTTTTCCTTGATTTGCAAAAGTCTTTTCATAGAAACCTCTCCAAATGAATGGAATATGTTGACAAATGAGGTAAACGTACTTCAATATTAGTTTCAATTAATTGCAAGTGACAGTGTTCGTGCAGCTTAAAAGATAAGGCCCAAGGATATCAAACCTAATTCCTGGAAATTATTCCATGGTGTGTGTTGTAGTCATTTTGTAGTCATGACAGCGGCAACCACATGCACGGTCGCTTGTATCATCACCAGACACAAGATTTTTTATTGCACTCGTAAAAATTTGCGATTTCCTGTTTCAATACATCTATGGAATTTAAAGGTGCATGTAGTTTATAAATATGCTTGGAGCTTCTTTCGATCAAGTGTTCATTTCTAGATTTAGCCACTTGCGATTGACTTGTGATTAAATAATGATTGACTTATGATTGAAATGTGATTTGATTTGTGATTCGTTTTTGGTTCAACTGGTGACTGACTCTAACCTTTCAGCTTGTGATTGGCTTGTTACTGGCTTGCAATTGATCTGTGATTGTCTTGTGATTTAACTTCACACTGTCTTGTGATTCGGTTTCAGACTGATGTGTGATTTAACTTGTGATTGACATTTGATTCAACTGGTTATTCAACTGAGTGAGCCCCCTAAATTGCTAGTGATTGAGTTTCGATAGTCTTGTGACTTGACTTGTGACTTGACTTGTGATTATCTGTGATTGACTTTTGCTTTGACTTGTGATTATCTGTGATTGACTTTTGCTTTGACTTGTGTTTTCCATGTGATTTCCTTGAGATTTCCTTGTGATTGACTGCGAAAATTGTCCATTGTGACTGGATTATGATTCACTTGTCATTATCTGTGATTGGCTTGTTATTGGCTTGTGATTATCTGTGATTGACTTATTTTACTTCTCGTTTCCTTGTGACTAGAAGGTTGTTTGCGTTCTGATTGGCTTGTGATTGTCTGTGACTGACTTGTGATTTGACTAGTAATTTCCTTGTGATTGACTTGAAAGTTTTTGCCTAGTGATTGGCTTGTGATTAGCTTGTGTTTATCTGTGATTGACTTGCAATTTCACTTGTGATTATCTGCGACAGACTTGTGAATTGACTTAAGTGATAGACTCATGATCGACTGATGACACACTTATAATAAAACAATTAAACTGAGATTGACTTTAAATTTTACTCATGATCAACTTGTAATGACTCGACAATGATTCTGAAATTTTCCTCCTTTTTAAAATTTAAAAATTAAAAGTTTATCCCAACCTTTCTTTCTGGGTGATTGCATAGCCGTCCAGTATATGCAGGCTCAGGCACCAGTTGACGATGTAGGGCCTGTAGTCAAAGCAGCTGGTGTGAATCAAAATGTCAAGGAAACTCATTTATTAGATCAGTTTCCGGAGTTCCGACCCCCGAAAAAAAGGCATTTCTGATCAGGGAAAGCTTTAAAGAGGTAAACACGTAAGTTTGGAATGGTTTTTGGAACGTTTGGCTTGAGGTTTAAAAAAATACATTCAACTGATCAGATTATGTTAATTATTGCTGTAATGAAACCAAGGATTCCTAAAAAGTGTTCATGGCACTGTGGCACACAAGCCTGAAGAAAGCTGTGGGAAGAATGCAGTTTTAAAGGTGGGAGGAAAACCCAAGATGTCAGGATTTCTGGGTCGGTATTTGATAGAAAGGATACAAGTCTGAGGACGACGTGGCCATCATGACGCAAGGGTTGTTCATGATGGAGAGCTGCTGTAGCCTGGACAAACAGGACAGATAGGATACCTGTGGAGTGAAAAGTAAAATGAAGATTTTTTAAAAACTGATGTCTGACTTGTCATGCTTATTTTGTAGGAAGACCTGTGAGGACTTATGAGGATTTGTGAGGACTAGTGAGGACTTATGAGGACTGGTGAGGACTTGTGGTGAATTGAGAGGACTGTTGAGGACTTGTGAGGACTTGTGAGGACTTGTGAGGACTGGTGAGGACTGGTGAGGACTGGTGAGGATTGGTGAGGACTGGTGAGGCTTTGTGATGAATTGAGAGGACTGGTGAGGACTGGTGAGGACTGGTGAGGACTGGTGAGGACTGGTGAGGACTGGTGAGGACTGGTGAGGACTTGTGAGGACTTGTAAGGACTTGTGAGGACTGGTGAGGACTGGTGATCATTGGTGAGGACTGGTGAGGACTTGTGAGGACTTGTGGGGACTTGTGAGGACTTGTGGGGACTTGTGAGGACTTGTGAGGACTTGTGAGGACTTGTGAGGACTTGTAAGGACTTGTGAGGACTTGTGAGAACTTGTAAGGACTTGTGGTGAATTGAGAGGACTGGTGAAGACTTGTGTGGACTTGTGGCAACTGGTGAGGACTTGTGAGGACTTTTGAGGACTTGTGGTGACTTGTGAGGACTGGTGAGGTCTTGTGATGACTGGTGAGGATTTGTGAGGATTTGTGAGGACTTGTGAGGATTTGTGAGGATTCGTGAGGACTTGTGATGACTTGTGATAACTTGTGATGACTTGCAATGACTTGTGTGAACTCATGATGACTTTTGATGAACCAGATTACAACTCTTGTATAAAAACAGTCAACAGCCAGACTCAAAGTGACTTCTTAACACTATAACAGCAACTTAGCCCCTTTAAGCAAACTTTGAGATATCTGACCATGAAACGCTTCAGACTAGATGCTCTACAGGAAATGGCTTCATCCAGCGCCAAATCCCCCCTCCATGAGACGGTGTAATGAGTTAAGCTCTAGGCTGAGCTTAACTCTGACCACCTCCCATAAACATAGTGCTGGAGAGGTCACAGGGTCAGTCAAAAATGCAACCACTCTGAAGGTACATGTGTTGAAAGGGTAACAAAATAGTTTACCCGCTCTGCAATAAGGGGTGTTATGGGTCAAAAATTTGGAATGTACCAGTATTGCTGTTTAGAAATGGATATGGTGAAAACTTTTAACTACATGTGGATTCCATGTGTTATTTTGTAATCAGTTTTTGAAAGTCTTAGTTTAGAAGTCACAAAAGCATATTTAATCAGTGTCTAAAAAAGGAAGAAAGATTTTTTCTGGACCATTGTTGGTTTTGTTGCAGAGTATAAGCTACTTTTTTAAAGCCCATTTTCTCAAGTTTGACTTTCCAAGCTACATGTTCCGGTAGGTTGAAAAGTATCTAGAATGAAACACGCCAACGAAAGATCCTAAAAACCTCATTTTGAAGGCAATTTTTTTCAAAAACAACTCAAATTTGAAGAGCAGTCATATACTGAATAACATTTATTTTTAAAAAAAGTTAAAATGACAACAAGATATGAGTAAAATAAGAGTAATTTACTTTGTGCAAAACATGGAGTCACTGCATATTTTAATTTACCTCTGCCAGGTCGGAGATTTCATTTTCTGCCAGGGATAGGATTTCAATGCACGTTGGGAAGTAGGCCGGCACGCTCCTGAGGGACGTTAGGATGTTGCCGTGAAGTAACAGAGTCTGTGTCAAAAAAATTGGCAAAAATTACATGGGGATTCAATTAAATGTGCACTATCTTTGCCTACTAGTGGGAACGGTAGAAGATTACAGGCTTCCTAGCAGACCCACGTGAAAAAGTAGGAGAACAGTAGGAGCAAACTAAAAAAAAGGAGGATTTTGGAGGACAAAATCAGGATTAAAGGGAATATACATGTACAACATTTGCAAACATCGAAAAATAAAACTACCTCGTTTTTACGAAATACCTTACTAGGATGTTGGTAAATGACAGTCTAAAGCATCCTGTAAAATTATGGCACCTAGTGTGAAGTCATTTTCAAGAAAATGGTATTTTTGTAAAAATTTCCAACGGTGGTCGACCGACCACCGTTGGAAAAACCTAACTATTTTTTCAACTACTGCTCCAAATTAACCAATTATCTTTCAGTCCAAATTTTGTTTGCTATTGGTTACATGTTCATGAACGGGTGCAGGCCGGCTAGACTGGTTCCATTACCTTACAAGTTTCCGGCATCTGTAAATTGATCCATTTTATATTTAGTGGAGTCAGGGAGCCAAACTACTTGAACATTTTTGTTTTTCTTGTTTTTTTTCCAGCATTTTCGAACACAAACCTTCAAACATGTCAGTCTAACAATATTTGATCTATTATACTAACCCCTCAAATAGTTCATTTCTGAAAATTACAGCAAAAGCCAATCATGTATATTCCCTTTAAAGTAGGACTTTTGTCGGCTTTCGGTAGTTTTCGTTGACACTCACCCATGTCCACAGCATCATAAGCCTCATTTTGACATGTTTTTGCATGTTCTGTACTCACATGTTGCAGTACTCCTGCGCCCAAGCCCTTCATTGTGTGATTTACATTTGACAGTGTGTAACAATGTTATGAAAAATATTCAATGAGATTTCATTTTTTGGAGTAGTGGGACAAAAATAGAAATTTCCAAAAAAAAAGTAGGAAAAGTAGGACCAAGGTTACAAAAATAATAGTAGGGCCAAGAGGGGGGTCTCAGAGGTGGGAGGACAAGTGCCCCCTTAACCCCCCCCCCCCCCACCTTGGAACGCTCATGGGCACTATCTCAAAATATACAGCTGAGAAAAATCAGGAAACTGACACCTCAAAACAGCTACAAAAATAATCAAATGTCAGGGAACCAACAGCCAGGCTGGTTAGCACCGCCACACAGCTGCAGAGTGCCTCGTGGGAACCCACTGAACGCCAGCCCCCGGACGCGACATTTCCCCCAATCGCAGCTCCAATTTCTTCCGCTTTTCAACTTCAATCTGTCATGTTTGTTCATTTTTGAAGTCTAGTTCCTGGACCCGTCACTCACCAGTGCCCAGGTGTCCTATTTTTTTAAATTCTACAGTTTCCTTTTTGTAATAACCTTAGGACTCGGTACACTAGCACGCAACTCGTTGAAAACAAAATAAGCGAAGGGTAAGTTTTTTTGAAGGAGAAATTAACACTACTGACGTGTACTGGAATTCACGATGTGGAATTGTTGCTTATTATGTAATTCTAATTATAAGATCATTTGCTTTTCATGCATTTGGTTCATTTCCAATAACACCACCACTCAAACTCCAAAGAAGAATGTTCAAAACCGAAACCGTTGAAGTTCCAGCTCGGTGGATATTACACTTTTCAAGAAAACAATGAAAAACCCATGCACAACCTTTTGATTACGAAATACAATTTTGTTGATAGCACTCTTTCTTTTCGAAAATCAGTCAATTGACTGATCGTTGGAAATCGCCTAAATGAGACGGAACTGGGCAGAAGCAGAAGTCGAGAAGGTACCCCCCCCCCCCCCCCGCCAAAAAAAAAATGGGGTGATATGTCTTTGATTTGGGTGATTTATTGACATTGTAATCTTTGATATGTCAACTGCACATATTTCATGTCTGCTGCACATAAACGAAATAGTCAGGCATGCAACTGGGAATTTAGAAAAAAACGAGGAATCGCCAAACCACACAAGACTTTGTACAGTGTTTTTCAATTTGTAATGGCATTCATGAGAAGTCAAAAACGAGGAAATCAGCAGATCCAAGGAAAGTTGCATGCCTGAATAGTATAAAAATCATGGAATAAAAATGTTTAGGAAAATAATTGGAATCTGTCATATTCACGACTGCAAAACAGTCAAAACTTTATTAGTGCCCTTTTTCTCAGCATTTTAATTTTTTGACATGTTGATAAACGTGAACTTTAAACGGCCATAACTTGTCAATGGAATGCCCGATTGAAGTACATGTACAACAAACAGTCTTTTAAGGAGAATTTTATTCTCTTTCCTAATACCCGCAAACCCTTATTTCGACTTCTGCCCAGTTCTGTCTCATTTTGCCAGAACGCCTCGAAAAATTATCTTCGACAAATGAACCATAAAATGTCTTTCAAGGGTGGATGGTTACAGATTTCGATGTGATTCCAGACGGCTCATAATTGCATTAGAATCAAAGGCTTTAATCTCCATGATGCATAGCACTGTGCAAACAGTGTTGCTAAACTTAGCTGTATTATGGCTATATCCTGAACGTGGTTCCGTAGGCCCCCCAAAAAAAGTCTCCGGTTTCTGGTATGGAGCTTGCCCAAAAAGTGGTGCGGCGACGCGGCTTTTTTTTTTTTTTTTACCTGACTTTTTTGCTTCAAATGTCGGCTGATGACTGCAAATGGTGCCCGACTAAACTTAGTGCAAATATATGGGAGTCCAGAGAGGCCACATAAAGCTTATTCTCGATCATAACCCCATCTAAAAACACGTTAAAATCGTGCAGCAGCAGGATTCCAGTCAAACCAGTGAGTTTGGCGGTTTTGAGACATCATCTTTCATTGAAAAAAAAACTTTTTCATTTTGCCGACGCGCATGGCTACGGCGACGCGCGCGCATACCAGAAACCGGAGACTTTTTTGTTTGGCCTTATCAAGGACCGCCAAATTTTTTTTTAGGTTTTTTTTGTCAAAGGCTTGTTACCTAGGAGCTATCTGTGGTTTGTACTGGGCGGGGCACCATATTCCACAAAGCGTTTTATTGGGCGCATTTCCCTCCACGCTGCGATAACACTAGAGGTCAGTACGCGTTCACGGGCGTTGCCATGGCAGGTTTACGAAACTGTGGTTCATAAATCAGATTTGCGTCCATTCTTGGCTTTAATCATTCAGAATTCTTTAATGTCGCAAACAACATTGAAATACCGTGAGCTTTTAATAGGCCTCATATTATATCTGTTTTAATGCTCTAGAAACACAGAAAGGGAGATCTAATCACGAAGGTATACGAAGGTCCGGTACATGTCTATGTATTTACACACTCAGTCGTGTAGTGTGTAGTTTGTAATGTGACTCTGCACACGTGAACGTCTGAACCTCAGATAACACATTTTTGATGGGTATTATCCAATTAAGGGGAGTGTGGCCTAGTGGTTAGGGTTTGTGACTCATGATCAGAGGGTCAGGGGTTCGAATCCAGCTGCTGGTCATATGTTGTGTCCTTGGGCAAGTCACTTCACCCCCACTTGCCTCTCTCCATCCAGGAGTATAAATGGGTACCGGCATTAGCTGGGGAGTAACCTGCGATGGACTAGCATCCCATCCAGGGGGAGTAGAAATATTCTCGGTCGTTTCGTGCTACGGAAACTGGAGATAAACGCCGGCCTGATTGGCCACACTGGCCCGTGACAGACTTTACTTTTATCCGATAAAAAGCAACTGGTGCCGAGTTGTCATACGCTTCCCGCATAATTGAAACCTGATTTATATTTTTCCGTCCTCGGCTTAATATATCCATGATACCTCGCAACAGGTATCATCAATTTCCTGTTGATTCTCAATTTGGTACAATTTTGGAATGAAAAAGGACAAGGTCGACCACTTAACCCACTTTGCAATTCAAACCTGCGTTACTACCATCCACTGCGACAAAAAGCTGCCTGACAGGCTGTTCTGGTTACCAGACTAACTGTCTGGCACCAGACTCTCTAGGGTCTCACCTTGAGATTGGTGAGCATGGAGATGTCCGTTATCGACGATATGCTGTTGTCGGATAGGTCCAGATGCTTCAGTTTCATGTTGCAGTTGAGATGATCAATAGCCTATAATCAATAAGATGAAATATTTCATTTATTGACAATATCTGAGGTACTGATTAGTCCTCCAGTCCCAAGTCAAATCACGAGCTACTCAAATGAACTGTGACAAAGTCATTCCTTTAAACCCGTTACTTGTGACTAGACCGGTGTTTTAACTCTGACTTGACGTGTGAGGACGTTTGACCAGACTTGTGAGGACTTGTGATTAAATTGTATAAGAACTTGTGAATGGACTTGATTAACTTGTGGCCAGACTTTGCAAATGGCCTTGTGAGGACTTTTGACCAGACTTGTGAGGACCTTTGACCAGACTTGTGAGGACGTTTGACCAGACTTTATGAGGACTTGTGATTAAATTGTATAGGGACTTGTGAATGGTCTTGTGATGAACTTGTGACCAGACTTTGCAAATTGCCTAGTGAGGACTTTTGACCAGACTTGTGAGGACCTTTGACCAGACTTGTGAGGACTTGTGATTAAATTGTATAGGGACTTTTGAATGGGCTTGTGATTAACTTGTGACCAGACTTTGCAAATGGCCTTGTGAGGACTTTTGACCAGACTTGTGAGGACTTTTGACCAGACTTGTGAGGACCTTTGACCAGACTTGTGAGGACGTTTGACCAGACTTGTGAGGACTTGTGATTGAATTGTATAGGGACTTGTGAATTGACTTGTGATTAACTTGTGACCAGACTTTGCAAATGGCCTTGTGAGGACTTTTGACCAGACTTAGGATGACCTTTGACCAGACTTGTGAGGACTTGTGATTAAATTGTATAGGGACTTGTGAATGGACTTGTGATTAATTTGTGACCAGACTTTGCAAATGGCCTAGTGAGGACTTTTGACCAGACTTGTGATTGAATTGTATAATGACTTGTGAATGGACTTGTGACTAAATCATGACCAAACTTTGTGAATGGCCTTGTGAGGACTTTTAACCAGACTTGACCAGACTTGCGATTGAATTGTATAAAGACTTGTGATTAATTTGTGACCAGATGTTGTGACCAGCCTGGTTTAATACTGTCTTGTGATCAGATTTTTTTAACCAGCCTTGTGACTGACTTGTGACAAGACTTGTGACTGTCTTGCGACTGGACTGGTGATTTACTTGTGACTGGAATTTCAATTGACCCGACTGCAACAACGGCTGAAAGTAAGGAATTGATTTCAAATGGAATTTCAGTATTTTTCTTGATTTACCTTGATGCTGTTCCCGGATAGGTTAAGCCACTCCAGGTTGATGAGGTCTCTCAGACCCTCGATGGCCTGAATGCTGTTGTTGGGAAGGTTGAGCACGCGCAACGTGGCTATCCTCGACACGCCGCTCATGCGAACCAAACGGTTACTGGCGATGGACAACTGTAGAGGGAGAAAGAAAAAAGTGAGGGCAAGTTGGAGAAGTGTGAAGCATGCCTGGTGTTTTGCGTCCCTAGGCAAGACACTTTCCTCTAACGCAGGATTCTAATGGCTTGAGGTGGACAAGAGCAAGATAGAGCGGATATTCCCAGCGCAAGATATTTAGCAAAGTTCAATAACTCTAGCTGCAAGACAGGAGTTATTTTTAGATAAGACAATGCATGTCCCCAAGAAAGATATTTTACACCACTAACGTATTGTACAACACATGATTATATGCAAGTAAAGGTAAAATGGACCATTTGTCAGTTTTGCAATTTTTTCGTTTGAAGCAACGAAAGGGCTCAAAATCTAAAGACGGATGCTTGACAACAAACCTGATGACATTTTAGCTCTTTGAATGCTGTTTATCTCGATTTCAGTTCAAAAGTTGGTCATACTTTGAATTGCGCCCTCTCGTGACACAATCCTGAAATCCGCATTCGAGACACGATTCTCATTCAGCTGATTGTAGCTACATGATGTCACACACTGAACCGACGAATAAAAGCAGCCGCGCGGGTGTGCGTTGGGTCAACGCTTGCACCCAATCACAGATTCGACCATTTACAAACCAACTACAAATGGAAATTCCAAAAATTTGTCACTTCACACATCTTTGGAAATGACCTTTTGTTTTCTTTAAAATGACAGCACGCCAGAAGGAATAATTTCACAGGGAGACTAGTCTTTAAACCAAGTAAGTTTTTTAGCAATGATTTGGTCGGTTACATTTTGGGTAGCTGCAAAATGGTCCACTAAATGCAGAGTATGTCCCTGAGCAAGATATTTTTCTTCAATATTTCCTTGTACAACACAGGGGCTATTGATTACAGACGGTGCATGTCCCTAAGCGAACTACTTTGCAGCAATTACTTCTTCTATATTCTAGGGGTCTATAAGGCTAAAAACGCAGTGAGCGAGATATACAGTGACAAAGGCGTTATACCCTTTTCAAATAAGTATTTGATTTGTTACGGGTAAACAGGATGCATTATAAGGAGCATGACTACAAGAAACCTGCAAGATGCAACAGTTAAAAATATATCCCCAGGGTCCTCCTCACCTGCTGCAGCATGTGGTATTCCTCCAAGTGTTCGATTTTAGAGATAGCGTTCCTGTCCAGGATGAGGGTGGTGCACGAAGAGGGCGTGGCCTCGTCCGCCGCGGGCCGCACCCTGTCTAGCCGCTTTAAGCCCCGCCCGGATAGGTCCAGGATCACCATGTTTTCTGTGGGGATCAATCAGTGACATGAGGGGTGAGAAACGGGGTGATAACTCGGATGCATAGGAAAGCTCATAAAATTGAAGATATTAACCGAATAATCCTTTAGTGCCTGTGTTTTGCAAAGTGTTGATCACCCCTGAGCAAGAAAGGTTGATCAGCAAAAATGAGCGGGGAACCAGCCACATGCAGTATAACTCACAACATATTGGCTGGTAACCTGTTTTGTTAAGCAAATATCTTCTGTGCTTATCAAATTCCTGTGCTTTTACAATGTTATGAAATTGGAACCAAGTGGTATGGCACCGCAGCAGCACCTTAGTCTCTGTGTTTGTGTCCCTGTCTCCTTTTGCCTCGAAACCTGCGTCACCAGACTGAAAATTAGGCACCAGACTCTCAACAGTCTCATTTCCCGTCCAAATTACTTCACTGAGCAGCTGAGAACTAACTGTAATTACCGTTAAGCAAAATTTTATATATAATGGACAACACCGTGTGCTGTTATTCTATGAAGCCAAAGCATTAAGGGTGGAGTTTTTTCACAGATCCCTTGCAGTTAAGTTATTTACTATGGAAAAAAAAGCCAACAAAATAAAATTCTGTTGGTTTGACAATATGTATTATTTATCGGTAACTCACGTTACCTTAAAAGAAAAAGGGCAGGGCAAAAATTTAAATACCTCGCATTTGAATATGTTCTCATACTGTGCACTGTTGGTAAAATCTGTCAGTGTCCTGACATCATTAGGGATCTATACTGAGATCTAAGTGGGGGATATATTAAGGTAACTCGCATTACGGAAACTTGCATTAGAGTTTTTTTCTGCCCAAATTTGGTGCAAATAAAAACAAGAAAATAAAAATCATATAAAAAACTCTTTCAGCACAAAGTATGAACCTTTCTCTCTGCCTTAAAAACAAAAACTCACAATAACACTTGCATTTTGCATGTGAAAACAAGATGCCAAAATGACCAAGGATAAGTCTCTGCATCAAATTTCAGCCTTCAAAGGCGCCATAAATTTAACCCTGGAAAAATAAAGGAAAGTCGATCACCTCATTTCGCAATTTCCCAATATTTTTAGACATGTAACCAAATTTGTCGATCTTGCCTAACGGATGTCAATGCAAATTATTCTGACCACATTAAATAATTGCTGGCCAAGGCAGAATTATTAAAAAAACGAAAACCACAGAAGTGAGCGACAAAGTGGTTAAAATAAAAGCCAGAAATTAGGATGACATAAAGGCAAATTTTTGATTAACTGTGTACACTTAACATCTTTTATGCAAGCATCTCGCACACATAATGGAAAAATTGACATCATACATACATCGTAGGCTTGGGAACATTGTGCATGCAAAGCGTTTAATGGCATCCCATAAAATATTGACAATTTCATTGTGCGTGTCCGTTCCCCGTGAAATTGAAGGCAATTTTAATTTACTGTTTCACTGATGCGCTTGTACATTACGTAAATGTCAACTGTACGTGCACTTGCTACTCGGTACTTGCGTGTAATTGGAAATGATCCATGCAAAAATAAATACATTGTATTCAAGTTATTGCTTACATTGTGTTATTGTATACTCGGAGCTTCATACAGCTAATTACAACAACAATGTACATCAATCTCCTGTGGAACACTTTGCCTAATTAAACCTCGAGAAGGTTACAAAATGGTAGGTCGACATAAAATTGAGCCCAATTTAAAAAAAAATTCAAGGTTACAATTCCCCAAAGCAGCATACGAGCTACTGTAGGATTTAGGAAAAATAATAATTAAAGTGAAACAAAAACATTCTAAAATAATTTCATTCAACTTTTTGCACAAAAGCATAGTATTTTTATCAAAAATTCTGCATTGTTTTTACAACATTACTATTCTGTTAGTAAAATTTCTCCACAGTAATTATATTTCTATGAAATACAATTCTTATTTTTGCTTTTGTTATTAAAAATTATCTGTACAGTTTTAATTCCAAGTTCAAGTCCTTACTCAAATAATGAACTCTCCTATTTTTATTATAACGATTTATATAATTCCAGCAATTACCAATTTATGCACAGGTAATACACAGGCAATGTTGTCTTAAAATATATCCAAAAAGACGTCATCGTCCCTAAGCATTTTTTTTTAAAGTTGAACAAAGAATTTGACTGGCACGAGGATTGAACCTGCGACCTATGGACTGCTGTTTGGTGCTCTACCAACTGAGCTATTCAGCCCTATGTTGGCGGTTCCCTAGTTTGTCGTTGTCTTTGTTCAAGGGGCGCTAGTCAGAAGCCATAAACCATGTAGCCAGGCAGTGTTTCCCCTGGCTAATGAACTGAGCGAGGTGGTAACAATTCAAGTTGATTATTGAAACGAAATTTACAGTCTGCAAACTGAAAAGAATGCAGCGCTCACAAAAATGCGCGATGATTCCAAAAACACATCGAAACTGTGAGTTCTTGAAAGATGGTGGTAAAGGAAAATGCTCATATATTACACAAAATGAAAATTGTTCAATTGATATTTCCTTTTTTGCCAATCTTCACAACGAGGTGGTGATATTGGCAAAAATTGAGCGAGGTGGTCACTGAAAGTAGCGAGGTGGGCCACCTCATGTTTGAATGGGCAGGGGAAACACTGTAGCCAGGGATCACGCCCAAAGTCATGATGCTAGCAACATTAGAAATGCTACAAACCCGCGAAATAGCAAACGGGGATCACTCATACAGGATACGGTTTCCGTATTATTTTTAACCCCCTCCCCAATTTTCCCATCTAGCCCCGCCCCTGCAATCATGATCTGTGTAAGTCTGAAAGGCCAGTAGCATGAGTAAGAGACACAGCCAGGAAATCCTCAATCATACCATAGTGTGCACCTAGGGAGGAAATGATTATCCTTGCACAACACACCCTATCATCAAAATGTACAATGTATGCTCTCTGAAAGACAAGAAGACTGTTCACAGGAGTTTGGGGGTAGGGGTGGAGACAGGGGTTGAAGGACAGGGTTAGTGGTGAGGGTCGGGATGGGGTAGGGCTGGCTGTCGGGGGTCAGTGTAGGGTCTGGGTTGGGTGGGGTACAGATTGTGACTGCTCTATGTTCCGACACCCCTACCGGTATGTTCCGATAACCCACACACGAGATTGTGTTACTCCCGGTTAGGGTTAGGGTTAGGAATATGTGCAGTCGGAACATAGGGGTGTCAGAACATACGGGTGTAGGAACATAGGGGTGTCGGAACATAGAGGTGTAACCGGTGGGGGTACCAATTGAGGTATGTCAGGGTATGAGTAGGGGTTAGGGTGAGGATATGGGTGGGGTGGGGTGGGGTGAGGATATGGGTAGGGTGGGGATAGGAGTCGGGGTTAAGGGTCAGGATAGGGATGGAGGTAGGGGTTGGACAGTGGTGGGGGAAGGGCGGAGGTCGTGGTTGTGGAAGGATTGGGACAGAGGCAAGGCTTATGCAACACTGCAAGAGAATCAAATAGACATGATAGAACTGATTCAAAATTTAGAATTGGAAACATGACTCTACTTTCGTGAGGAATCCGCAGTATTGTATCTTGGTCCCTAAGAACAGATCCCAAGCAGTCCAGACAGTTCTGAAGACAGGTTGTCTACAGATGTTCAAGATCAAGGCTCTATGCCTCATTATCAATGTTCTACACACATACTGGGGCAGGGAGAAGGTGTTTGCTACAGGTTCAAAAAGTGAGTAAGTACATTGTCTTTAACTGAATACTCCTATAAACTCTTTCCTTATGGAACTGGTTGGCGAATTAAGACCAAATTACAACAACAACGTGCTAACATTAAAGCAAATACACTGGCTTGAGCAAACACTCTCGTTTTACTATACTCTCGAGGACAATGCTTTGTTTTTCCCTTTGTCCCTGTATAACACTCTCCCATAGAGGACAGTTTCCAACAAAAGACCCAACTCCCGAGGACTGAAAGGATCTGTATGTAGTTCTCCCTTTGTGTGTCAGTCCTAGGAGGTTATGTAGAACACGTACTTTCCTAGCCTGTAGCATTTCATAGCAAATTCATTGGCTTAACTGACACACAGAGTCACAACACGGCGAGACTTCAAACCTGATCCACAGCCTACCTTCAAGTTCCTTCTCTCCAATGTAGCGTTCCATCTCTGATTTCTCCAGCATAATGGGATCCCACGGCGGATAACTCACTAAAGATTCCATAGCTCAAGCCTCAACGTAAACTCAAAATCCGAAACACAGGAAGACCTCAGATCATTTAATATAGCATCCTTCCAGAACGTTTTCTTGATGTTAAGTGTTTCCCAGACAGCGTTCAGAGACGTTAGCGTAACACTGCCAACACCATGGCGTCAGAACCAGCCAGTCAAGTCGAAGAGAAAAAACTCCACTCCTACAATCTTCCTGCTCAGGGAAGCTTTCATAAGACAATCTGGACGTGCCAAAGCGGGCGCCCTTTTTTTTTTTTTTTAGTCATCGGCATGCTAATGGCTCATCAGCTGGGCTGCGAAACGGAATGATCCAAAACTTGCAGCGGGGGTGGACAAAATGATAGAGGTCAATCCAAAATTCGGTACAAATTAACAAGCGCCCATGACAAATCACATAATCTCTGACAGGAACTTAATTAAATTTTCATCTTTGTTTTTAAAAACTTCTGGTGAAAAATTTACAATCATGACAAATAAACTTTTAACATCTTTTAAATCTTTTAAATTTTGGCTGTTTGTGTGGGTTTTTTTAACTCTAGAAGAAAAGTTTAGCCTTGTAGTTATTATTTTTCAAGCTTGCACACAGAATTTTGGCTTACAGTACAAATGAGGTTTTTTTAAAGATATGGTGGACAGAATAGCGGAGCGTTATTTGAAGTTGGAAAAATTTGCGGTAATGCAAAGGAGTTTCAAATGGGCCCTTCCTATTGTCTTCACGGTATCTCAAGAAAGTTTAACCCCCTATGCAAACATGCATTCTGTGCCAAGTAGTCCTTTAAGTCCAATCAATCAAGTGACTGTTTTTAACAGTTGAGAATTCCCAACCTACATAAAGCATAGCAAGATTAACTGGCTGTGACTGTTTATGTAACTTGATAAAGCTATGCTTTGGCTGTGGGTAATTGATAAGCAACCTGTGCCCCCAACTTGCCTGCTTTGTCTGTTCATGGTCTGTTGACTGAGTTTGACTAGTCACAGTGCTTGCTTAACTTACATTTGACAGCTGGTGACTAGCCTGTGTTAAAAGTATAGCAGGGGAAGTGGATGGAAACTTTGACTGTCTGTGACTGTTCAAATAGCAGGAGGGTTCATAGTTAGCAAGGTAATGAAAATTGGTCCTTTGGAAATATCCAATCTGTCACTACACAGTACACCAGTGTTATTGCAATAGCTTAATTTTGCACAAATTGCTTTTCTAGAATTATTCACAGAAATATTAACATTCTGGTTTGAACTAAACCACGGAGTGATCCACCGAGCCAAAACACAGGGAAACACAAGGTGAGTCAACGCCACGACTATTAATATGCGCACACCGGCATTTGCCTGTAATCTGATACCCAAAGCCCACTCGCGCAAGGGGGCACTAGTAATCACCGACTTCCACCCAGATTATACCATATTGGGGGCTTCCTCTAGGAACAATGAATGTTTGTGAGGATGGAAACGGCCGCGGCCGGCAGACGAATTAACCATTCATTCTTCCTTGTGTGCACCCCACCCATAAAGTGGCAATCAACATCCTTTTGATTAATGTTACTTAATATAAAAGCACCTGTTACTATCAGTTTTTATATTTGATTTGACAGTCTGGAAAGGGTTGTACTGCCCCTTCCACCGCCCCCTCCCCCCCCCCCCCCATTTTATACTGGTATTTTCTTTTACTTGGCCTCATGTAAATTTTTGCTTTTGTTTTTGTTTTGATTGTTTGTTTAATTGGGTTTTTACAAACCGACAGCATTTTGGCTACAAAATTTTTTCAATTTCCATTCATGGTCTTTAAAATTTGGTAAAATTTTGTCGAGTTATTGAATTTCTAATAAATATAACTATAACTTTATTTTAAACTAGTTCAAGTAGGCCATAGTGGCCTAGGCCTATTTTAATAATAAAAGTAATTACTTAAAGGCATAATATTACTATTTCATTATGATTAAAAATTAAATATTTGTGAGGCATATTTATGTACATTGTACTACCAAGTCCGCCCAGGCGTAATTCCGTTACCGTGATTAAAATGCAAATTATGAAAAGAGTGATTATTTTTTCAACTTTGTTCTGCATTGAAGTTAACAACAACCCTGAACTCTACAAATAACAGGTAGTGTCCAATTTTAAAATTTCAAAACTTCAGAGAGTTTTATTGATTTATGCGAGAACTCAAATATGCTTGTCCTCAGTCCGTAATTCCGTTACCGATATTAAGCTCCGCCCCTTAAAGGGTAATCTTGTGGGATTTTTTTTTTTTAGCGGTCAATCAATTCTATTGGGTCTTGGCTCCCTTTCCATGTTTAGATTAGTTGCCTAGCATAGAACATATTTTCTTGGGAAAGAATAATCCTTGACAAAGTGACAAATGGGCAAATTCCGTTACCAAAGAATTGCCCATTTGAACATGTCTCAAACATTTTATTGCAGAGTATTACATTTTCTTTTTCAGATTTGTGGCTCTGGAGGATTTTTTTTAAAAGGGAAATAAAGTCTGAAATTATAAAATGGTCTGAATCCCATCTTGTGAATACGACTTTACGAGGTTACAACGATAATATTGGCATGGTGGAGTCAGACTAAAATTTGTCACCGGAAAATGTTGAAGTACAAAAAAACAGTAACTGCACATGTTCAGTGCATATCCGGCAAACTAACGTTTACTAAAGGTTTGCCGTCACCGGCAAAATATCCACTGCCTAACAAAATTGGAAGTGTTTATTCATGACTTGCATTGCAAATGCATTGACTGACCTTCATTAAGTTCATATTGAGATGATAAATGAAGAAAAAGCAGCGTCAGGTTGCAACATTTTTTTTCCACACAAGCTTCTTAAGTTAAGTTTCCAGACTAAGTAGCCTAAAAAGAACATAAAATAAAAGAAAATTGTTTACCTTTCTCTTGCAGACGAATGTGCCCATGATGGTCCGCCATTTTGAAGATCCGCGCTTATTTATTTATTTTTTTACTTTGCCGTTTTTAATCGCAAGAGGGCGTGCTTCTAGTTTAGTGGACTTAATTTTTTTTCGTGGGGACCCGTACCCCCCTGGCCCTCCGCCCTTCCAATTTCCAAACCCAGTACTCTGGGGGGGGGGGGGGGAATCAACAAAGTTTCGAAAGGAAAACCGTAATTAAATAACAACATGTGAAGGAATTAAATCAAAACGTTGTTGTGTGATTATGATAAACGCCCGTGGAATACAAACAAAAAACCAATCAAATTGGCCATGGTACATCATGGGTACATTAATAAAGAACATCAAGTGGATGCATGGAGGAAGAAAAACAGGTCAATTTTGGGGGGTCACAGATTTTCTTTATTTTCCGTCTAGGAAGTTTAAGTCCTTGATAATACCAAATCATTGTTTTTATTCGAATTAAGTTTATATTTTTTTATAAGAAGTTTAGGCTAGCGGGTAGTGTCTCCAGGTGGCTCGCACATTGCATGCAGAATTAGACTGGCGCCCTCTATTGATACCAGAGTGAACCTGGCCGCGTATTCGGCCAGATACCACAGCCGCGCATTCAGCCGTGTATTCAGCCGCGTATTCATAAAGTACGGAGGCCAATAAACAACATTATTGATATGATAAATGTTTATATATTTAATGCGGATTTCATCGAGGAGTGTACCAAAAATGAAGGACGTCAGTATTATGCTTGATGGTCAGTTATTTAGGTCTCGTGGCTTCCTATAAATTATTTTGGTTTCAGATCTAGGGCAGCTATGAGTCACGTGATACTTGTCCTGAGAAAAGTCGTACTAAAATAGCATTTTGCGGTAATTGTACATTTATTAAAACTTAAGTTAAATTTCGAGACAAAGTGTACCAAACAGTGTAGGAGAAAAGGTCAAATCGCCGATGTCATCTTAAAGAGTGGTGTCCCGCCTACACTCTATTTTGGTTTCAGGTGTGTAGGGTGTATCTGTCACGTGACAATGGCATAACAAAATGGGCTTTCACCGCCAAATTTACTCTATTTTATTATATTTAATGCGGATTTCAGGAAAAAGTGTACCGAAAAATCAACATGTACGAATTATGTTTGATGGTCAGTTATTGAGGCCCAGAGGCTTCCTATAAATTATTTTGGTTTCAGATCCAGGGCAGCTATGAATCACGTGATACTCGTCCTGGAAAATTCGCACTAAAAAAAAAGGTATTTTGCGGTTAAACAACATTTATGCCTTTACTTTGAGACAAAGTGTACCAAACAGTGTCGGAGAAAAAGTCAAATCGCCGGTGTCATCGTAAAGAGTGGTGTCCCGCCTACACTCTATTTTGGTTTCAGGTGTGTAGGGTGTATCTGTCACGTGACAATGGCATAACAAAATGGGCTTTCACCGCCAAATTTACTTTATTTTATATATTTAATGGGGATTTCAGGAAAAAGTGTACCGAAAATGCAACATGTTCGAATTATGTTTGATGGTCAGTTATTGAGGACTAGAGGCTTCCTATAAATTATTTTGGTTTCAGATCTAGGGCAGCTATGAATCACGTGATACTCGTCCTGAGAAAAATCGTACTAAAATAGCATTTTGCGGTAATTGTAAATTATTAAAACTTAAGTTAAACTTCGAGACAAAGTGTACCAAACAGTGTAGGAGAAAAAGTCAAATCGCCGGTGTCATCTTAAAGAGTGGTGTCCCGCCTACACTCTATTTTGGTTTCAGGTGTATGGGGTGTATCTGTCACGTGACAATGGCAATACAAAATGGGCTTTCACCGCCAAATTTACTTTTATTATTTTATATATTTAATGCATATTTCAGGAAAAAGTGTACCGAAAATGCAACATATCCGAATTATGTTTGATGGTCAGTTATTGAGGACTAGAGGCTTCCTATAAATTATTTTGGTTTCAGATCTAGGGCAGCTATGAATCACGTGATACTCGTCCTGAGAAAAATCGTACTAAAATAGCATTTTGCGGTTGTACAACATTAAACTTAAGTTAAAATTCGAGAGAAAGTGCACCAAACAGTGAAGGAGAAAAAGTGAAATCGCCGATGACATCTTAAAGTTAGAGTGGTTGCCCGTCTGTTCAATTATTGAGGACTAGAGGCGTCGTAATGTTATACATGCTGCAAAATGTGATCTGTTTTCCAGATAGATAATTTATGTTATTCAACGAATTTTTCAAAATATACGACAAATATCAATATTTTTCTATACTGTATCAGAGTTCACAATAAAGCAACCATGTCGTCAACAAGTTTTGAAAA